ACTGACGTTTTAACTTATAATGGCTAATATTTTTCCCCTTAACATAATTTTTTGACCTGAAAAACGCTAAAGTGTTTTACGATAATGGTGTTACGCCCTCAGTAAATAGAATGGAATATTCAACACTCTCATTACAGTGACCCGCGCCGCTGAGGCTAAACAAAAGTATAAGGTCTCTGGTGTTGGCTCCTCGCCGCTATCTTGAGGTTCCTCGCCGCTATGTTGAGGCTTCTCGAAGACATGTTGAGGCTCCTAACGTTATGCTGAGGCTTTTCGATGTCATATTGAGGCTCTTTGATGCTATCTTGTCGCTACTCGACGCCATGCTGAGGCTCCTCGACGTTATATAAAGGCGCATCAACATTCAGCATCAGTTACGGATGCTCAAAGACAGATGAGCATCAATAACTGCAGTGATCCCTTGTTGGACACCATTAATGATCGAGAAATTCTGTCAATACGCGATTTAAATCTTTATATTTTTTTTTGGTCTCTACTACTTTATAATTTGGAATATTCTACACCCTTAATAGTGTTATGAGATGTATTTTCAGTACAATTCAGAGGTACGCCTGTACATAGCAATGTTGAATTTACGCAAATTTCCGAGGATCTTATAGCCAAAAAACGGTACAGGTATTCTAATCATTATCGTACTAGTTAAATTAATTAATACACTCTATAATTAATGGATTCATTTGTATTTTTAATCAGTTTTCGAGAGGTTTCTGTAGTCCCCATAGCAGCCATGGAATTTATATAATTGAGCAAGTTGAAGAGAGCCGCCGCATGATAGAAGATGGCAGCACTGTGTATCACTGGCTCCAGCCCTCTATAATCTGCCCGTCGTCAGACCTCAGACACTTGTATTCTCATACACAATCATACACTCCACACTTTAACACTCCTCTGTGTCAATTTACACTTCCATGCGGTTCTAAAGCATATTTTAGTATAGATCTACACCGTGGCTGTTCTTGCATGCGTCTTGAAATCACACACACACACACACACGAAAGTGCGTTTCCAAGTCTTCCCGCCCCAACAAAAAATCCAATTTAGATTATTTACCGTCAGAGTGCCGGAGACGCCGAAGATGTTCACAAGGAAGGTTCTCAAGACCAACTGAGCCTTCGTCGCTGGCGGCTGGTTCATCGATGCACTGACCACCCTCTTTTCCATTGTTAATTGCTCTCATTACTTACAATCGCTAAGGTCTGGCCCTCACATAATCCCTCCATAATCAGCTGAATTTTAACTCCTGCGGCTCGCATACATATCGTTAGCCTCCGCCAGCGGTCATTTCCATTTGCTTTACACACGCGTTTAGAGCTAGCTTTATATATATATATATATATATATATATATATATATATATATATATATATATATATATATATATATATATATATATATATATATATATATATATATATATAATATATAAAGCCACCTTACACGATATGTTTTAGGCAGGTGTTTCTCTTTTAAGGAGAGCGCCGTAAAGATGGGGGGATGAGGCGGCGGAGATGGCAAGCCACGTCTGCCGTCGGCTTTGAGTTATTCCGCAGCTGTTATAGACGTGTCAGCGTGGCCCGGACCTGACAGTGGTCCCCCGCACACAATGGTCGCAGGGTGGCCCAGAATTTTCATGAGTGGTCCGATGGGGGTCGTGAGTCTTGGTATTCATGGATTCATCTTATTCGCTTCCATGATGCATATTATATGTATATATAAATTTATTTATATATAATATGGACTGGCACAGGAAACTTGCTACTCTTGGGGTCTCTGCTTTGCCTAATGAGTTCCTTTACCACTTAATTCAGGAAATTAAGTGCACGTTTACCCATGACGCCCGGTCTCTTCTGAGCCTATTGGCACGAACCTGTAACATTAATGTCCTAAGTCCCTCTACTTATTAATTTTTATTCCCCAGAAAGGTGGCAGCCCAACCACCTTTAGTTTCACTGTACCGTAAATAGGTATCTGCCAATGTAGTGCTCATGTGTAGTCCCCGTCAACCTGTTTACCATCCCTCCATGGCTGCAGGGTGACACCATCTGGGCGTCTGTGACTGTTTTCAGGCCTGCACATCTAAGGTTTACTTTGTGAGGGATACTACGCTAGAGCCAAACTTCTCATGATGATGTCACTAACTGCTTAATGTCTGGCAATCTTTCCTTGTGACTTACGACAGATGAGACCATGGCGGCCTTATTGGTCTGCTGACGCATAGCGGCAGATACACCGGTGTTCGGTGGAGACAGGGGCGGCAAGGTGCAGGACAGCACCAATACTTAAGGCCTGATGGTCAAGACGGGTGCCCAAGGAGAAATTAAAGACAGCTAACAGGAAGTCCCCAGCATGGGGGGGCTTGCCCAGCGAGGAGGCATGCTTTGTCCTTGCCAAAAACTGTCTCCAGCATTAATGAGGCAATGTTCTCCACTATGAGGGAGTAGAGTCCAAACAGAATCACTCCACCCAGTAAATCTGCTGTCGTTTTGGAGAAATTGGTCGGGGTGAAGAGCCTACAAGAGTATTCCACTGGCTGGCTCCTTCAGTGAATTTGGGGGTCATAAATCCCATTCTCTCTTAAATACTCTGCTAGGATCTCTCACTAAATCACTTACAGCACTACTCGAGGTTTAAGACTGCCGGTAATGCTATGCTGTGTTGTATATACCTATACCACCGAGAGGAGCGCTGCTTGGTCCGATTGGTCGTCTTCCATGGCGAGGTTTAAAACTTTTATGAACATTGCTTTTAGTTCATCATACACTGCTCATTTTGAACTATTGAAAGAGGGTGCAAACCTGGGCAATAGGTATGCCTGGGCAAAGCCCGGCACCTTACGAGGCGATACAAAGCATCATATATACAATACACCTATTTTTCCTTCCATCCACCTAAAGTCGCTCAGCTATTCTCTGAAGATTACACCAATGACATATGAGCCCAAAGGTGCTAGGCCCCCAGCACCTTTGGGGTCGATGGATCACCCCCCACTGTCGGTTGTGGGTGATCACAAAGGTAAAACGGATGTTACTGCATCTATGCTTGGTTGGCTAGGCCAGATTTCATATACTGAATGATTTAGGGTCCTAACTCATCTCCCTCAGACTTCACCAGCTGTAGGCCCTCTAGCATGAACTCCTGTGTACCAGATGTTGAGCTCGCTGGTCATCCTGCCTGTGGCCTTAACAGTCATGCAGAAAAAGCTTGGAGCAAGTATATACCCTTGCTGGACACCTTCAGCAGAAACTACTTCATGCTTCCCAAACAACAGTGTCAGTTATTGGAGGTCTGAAAACCAGGATGCGAGCCACTTGAACCCACAGGAAGGGAAGGAAACTATCACAAGAAAGTGCCAAGCCATTACAACTATATAGCACTTAGAAGGGATCAGGATATAGATTTGGGATGAGACAGGGGAAAAGAATGGTGCCCAACTACTTGGACGGATGGGGACTGAACTCCGACCTGCATGGAAGCGAAACCGTTGCTTTACTAAGCATCACAAGAGTTTTGAATCATTCACTGTATCTACAAACAAGTCCTCTTGGTGAGCATACCACTCATCAAAAAAGATATCTTGATGAGCACAGTATAAGGCTTAATGGTATCCTTGCATCGTATGTGACGTCTCCACTGGTCACAGTTTACTAAACAGAATCACTATGTGCTCACAAGAGAAAATCAGGAAAAACTATATTCTCAGAGGTACTTCATAAGGAACAAACTGAGAAAGCATTACCAGTAAACACACACTAGTTTGTAATTTTATTTATAAACTTTTTTATTTTATTTACAAAATGACTATCCCATCCCAAATCCTTATCCTGACCCCTTCCAAGTACTGTCCTATATAGCCATAATGGCTTGGTGCCGTCTCCTAATAGTTCCCTTCCCATTCCTAAGTCCTTGGGCAAAATTTGGTAGTTAAGTCATATAGCTACACTCTCTAACACTATATCTGTGATTGCCCTGTTATAAGTGACTTCAGACCAAATGGTATGAGGTACTTTGAGCTCTGTAATTTCTTCATACACTCAGGAATATTGGAAGATATTCTTGTGCTGTACCCAGATTTTGCTAGTGGAGGCTAATAGTTCATCAGCCTTACATTTCATGTTCTCGTCTGATTGTTTTAGGCAAAGTTGATTTGCTTTTGTATTGAGGCAGGTAATTTCTTCCCCTGATTCCATGTATGACTAACCATCCTGTGAGATGGGAATATTAGATAACCTTATAGCTAGTTTTTGATTTACACTGTGTAATCTTTCATATAGAATATGGTAGCAACACATTGCTGTGTATACCTAAGCTTGTTAATTAAAAAAATATATATAGCTATACTAAAAAAAGCCAGACATTAATTTTCCATGTCTTCATTTTTAAGCAATGTTTACCTGAAAAATGTTTTTTGAACATGTGTAAGATTTAATTTAAAATTTGTAAAATTACGAATCTATTTATGATCATCTGCATTATTCAAATTAAAAATATATTTAGTGGATATATTTATTCTGGCAATACCTAGGTCTTTGGACCTTTGTATTAAATGAATGCAAAGTGCAGGAGGTAGACTAATGTAGTTTCAAACAGTGATGAGAGGATATTCAAGGCTGACTGACTATTCAAGTAATTATCAAAATAAAGCACCGAGCCTATTCTGGCAAGCCTGGCAACACCGTCTGTGGGACAGAACAGTCGAGCACATTTAGATATCACTCAAGATACCAATACAAGAGTATGTAGGACACAAGGCAAGTGATGTTAAACGTATCAGATTCACAGAAGATTTTATCGGGGGAAAAGTGTCTCAAAGGGAAAACCAGATCTCTAATCATTTTGAAAATCAGGATATTCTTCAAGACTTCCGATTCAAATCGCATAAACAAACCATGCAAGTACTTTATTGCGCAATTACATAAATCTCCTTTTAATATCAGCAGCACGCTTTTTTTGTACAATAAAGTATAAGTAAAAATACCAAAAGGTTTCTCATATAAATGAAATTATATTTCTTAATAAACAATGTTACATCAAAATCAGTGTTTTCTCCTCTTGAATCCTGAAAGAAAAGACAAGAGGAATAGGTATTTAAATGTGTTATGTTATATTAACAATAAATGCATGAAAATTTCTTACTGTACTTCTAAATAAGTTGACATTTACTAAGAAAAGTCATTTTAAATCAGCAGTTAAGTTTTAAATGAGATAAACTGGTAACATTTTGTACATTTTCAGGTAGGATTATACAGGCATTAGGAGACTTGCCAATAAAAGTTTGGATATATTTACTTTGAAAGAATAAGTCATAATAACGTGGTTGAAACGTGGTGCAAACATGTGGAAACATTAATTTGCAAGGAGAACTAAACGAACAGTTGAAATTATTTTGCCCGAGTTTTCAGCGCTCAATTTTGAGACCTGCAGTTTGAGGTAATTTATGCATGCAAGAAAATTGTACTGGATTCATGAACATCTGTAAGAAAAGAAATACAAATAGCCCAATCCACAAATATGATGTTAAAGAGAAGTTGCAATGTTTTGGCCTATCTTGGCCCCTGGACTCTCATTGTCAAGACTCTTACAGAGTCAATACGGACCAAAATGTTGCCACTTTCATTTCATATATGTGGGTTGGATTATTTGTTTACTTTCTTATAGGTGTTCATGAATACACTTCAGTTGTCTTAGATGCATAAATTACCTCAAAATGTAATCCTAAAAAATGAGCACTGAAGACTCGGACAAAAGAATTTCAACTGTTAGTTTGGTACTCCAAGTAAATTTGTCTGTTTCCACTTGTTTGAACTGAACAAAATAAATAGCAGAAAACTATATATCTTCCACTCATAGAGTAAAGGCATTTATACTGTATTAGAATAGTATAAATGCTATAATATAGGTACTATTTTAGTATAGTATAAATGCCTCCCCTTCCCATGAAAGTGAAAAACAGGATACAGTAATGATAATGCAAATAATAAATGGAATTTTTTTATAAATGATAATAAATTTAATGAATTTAATTTTAGTCATCTGTGCAATTTGAAGGACCAACTAACCTTTTTTGCCTTTAGATTTGCCTTTCCCTTTGCCCTTGCCCTTAGAAGATTTTCCAGTCTTCTGTCTTTTCGCTGCAGGAGCCGAAGGATCATAATCACGGTGTAGAGCATCCATAGTGTTGAAACCCAAGATCTCTGACCCCATTGTGCCTATTGTTGTCACCTGCTGCATGGTTGCTTTGTCACGACGGCTCACCACTTTCCTGATCATGTTGTCTTCCTCAAAGCTGACAAGTAAGAAGACATTTATTGAGCAACATTTTAAGCAGAGAAGATAATGTATTCGTAACAAAAGAAAAAGATACTAGATATACTGAACACATAGGCTGATGATAACACTTGTTTTTATTTAATGCAATCTCTAGACAGAAAACTAACAATACAGTACAGTACAGGGCAGCGATGAGAATAATATTTGCTGCTTATTTCATGTTTGTATCAACAATTATGATAGACATATCAATGAGCATTAGTCACCGATCAGTACTGCAAGTGTAATAATTAGCATTACATGCAGTAAAATACTAAAGCAATTGTTATATTTAAGAAGTTAAATTACATGCAAGACACTGAAGTCTCAAGAAATCACATGGGTTGCCTTACACTTCAAGTTCCCTGCGCTTTCGAATAGCCTTCTGTTTGAGGATGTCATTGTTGTACACTACTTCTGGGTCCTCAGTGTGTTCTGAGAGTGCATCGCGCAGCATGCTTGAGTTCAGAACTCGGCGCCTGGCTTTGTCCTTTGCTTCATCTTTATTTACTTCACCATCTACAACACATTAGAAAAAATTATACACACATTACGTACAGTAAATCTGCAACTTTTCAGTCATTTACTTACTGGGAAGACTCCCATCTGTGTCTCACTGAGCTAATGAGGCAGCTAGTTCAGGAAGCCACCGAAGAGACCCACCTAAAAGAGGCCTTTTATTACATAACACATTAGATTTTGTAATGCACATTCTTTATATTTCTTAATAAAGTGTCAATACGTTTCATATATTACTGGTAACTCAACTAAATAATGTCATCCTATTCTATTATGAAGGTTGAATTCTCAGCCAAATAGGTTCAGTAACCTATTTCCTTAAAAAGCAATTGAAACGACAACTCAACCATCCCACTCAATTACCCCCTCACTCGGACCATAGTAAGTTTATTCACTTAATAATATAACAGCAGGTCACTCATGATCATGTAATCTATTATTCTAGTGAACTAGTCTAAAATTCACAACAATAGACAGAAGAACACACATTCTCTGCATACACTTTGATTTCTTACTCTAAGACCTGGAAATCAAGCGAAGTTGAAGAATCCAAAATGCTTTTCTAATACATTTGGCTTCATTGACAATCACAAATACATCATAATCCTAAAGTGATTAGCAGTCTTAGTAATAGTCATCTGATAACTGGAAACTTCAACACACACAACTACCGAGGTTCAAGGCCTGGAGAAATTCCTCACTTTTACAATATTTGTTTATAATTTGGGAGGGGGTAAACCAAGCTGTGTCACCGTTAACATTGCCTTCAAGTGATTATACATTTTATGTCCACAGTAGAGGGTAACCCTAACTTCTGTAATACTACCAATAGCAAGTCTTACCATAATGTGTCTGGCTAATTTTGGGGATTTTGTAAGCCTTATGCTCATACTCAGCATGTGTTTTCTTGACTTTCGTAATTTCATCTTCCTCATCTTCATCTGAAGAGATTCCAATATTATCAAGATTTCCCTTAAGTCTTGACGGATCATCTGCACTAACCACACCTTCTGCAGCTGTCTGAAATATAACAATTAAATGTTGTAAACTACGATAAAAATACATTGTAAATGTACTTCTACAAAGCTCCTTGTACAACACAATTTCACTTTTACAATCTAGACCTTTTTCTTACATATATGATTACATATCATATCTTTGTTGCATACATTGGCAAAATATCCTCCCAGATCTATTCCATTCACTTTGTTAAAATATGCAATTTCTGTCTTTAGCTGGGCTATTTTGTTTATGCTACATATGTTAATTCCAATGCTACTACATAAGTCTTTCCTCTTGTGAATGCCCATTTCAGTTGCCATTATGTTAAATTTGCCATTTAACTGTTACAAACCCAAGTTTTGTTTTCATAAAATAATATTGCTTATACAGCATTACAAGTATATTGTATTATAATAGCTAATACATACAGTATTTAACTAGTTTCCCTTAAAGCTCCAGTAACGTCTAATTTCTAGCATTAATATCTTTACTAATATGATTAGTAAAAATTGTACTAATAATTAAAATCGTCTGTATCCAGCAACATGTCTTGTAACTCCAGTTATTCAAATACATATCCTCATGCATATCACTTGTAGTCATACTCAAATTTCTCTTACTCCATTACTCCCATCCACACGCAATATTATTTCAATGTTGACCAAACCACACACTAGAAAGTGAAGGGACGATGACGTTTCGGTCACAATCGACTTGAAAATGGTCCAGGACGGACCGAAACGTTGTCGTCCCTTCACTTTCTAGTGTGGTTTGGTCAACATATTTCAGCCACGTTATTGTGACTCCTCGTCTGCTTATTTCAATGTCCAAACATTAATAATACTGGTAAATTTCTTACCTAGTCCCATGTCTAACTACACCATCAATTTGTATATCAACTTTGAAAACTGTCTTAATTTAACGTTTAAACAAATAACTGAATTTAATTTTCCAATTTAATTTCGACTATGAACTGTTAATTCAAACTATGAAAATCATACGCAAAATCACACTTACTTTCACATGCTTGTCAATCTGGTATTTCAATTTATCTTCCAATGGACGAATACGTTCTAGAACCACTCTGGCTTCCACAAGTCGATCTGCAACAACACACCAAGCATTTCATGATTGTTGAATTACGTTACCTATTGCAAGGATATAAGTATAGTAGGTATACTAGGTATAGGTATATAGTACGTATAATATAGGTATAGTAATATTATAATTGTGCCTCTGCTGAAGCATAAAGATACAACACAAGGTTCCATCTATCCATCTCTGCAGCCATCTGTAAGGATCAGTGACGTAGAGTCATAAATGAATGACTCTTGGGTTCAATTTCTGGGCAAGACAAGATATTTGGGAATGTTTTCTAACACCTGTTCATCTAACAATAAATAGGTATCCAAATTTTAGGCAACTATTGTGGGTTGCATTATACGCCACAAGACATTTACAAAGGATTAGAGATTAACTATGAAGAGAGGCCAAGAGAATTAACTCAAAATGACATTAGAAGAGATAGCACAAAGCAATATGATCACAACATACAAGATACCAAGTGGGAATAGATATAATGGATAGACAGTCTCTCCAAAGTGAGGTACAATAGAACGAGTGGGCACAGGTGAAACTTGAAAAAGCAGACTTCTCAGAAAAATCTAAGGAAATATAGATGCTTCTTTATTTAGGAAAGGGCATAATTCATAATTTTGATTCATAATTTTGTTAAATATTCATTGAACAGGTTGCAATGCAATTATATAGTACTTTGTGAAAACTTCAAATTTCTGAAGATAATATATACATACATACACAGTATAAACACGAACTAAAAAATTATACGATATCACTATACTCTATACAACCTGGTGCTCTTAATTAAAAAAAAAGCTACATGATATTTATTCAATCTTTTATACAAAGTAATCATTCTTACCAATGCTCGAGTCATTTTCAATCTTGGCACCTTTTAACTTCCGCAAGGTCAAGTATACGAGATTGGCCATATATGAGAGAAAGGACTGGTTCTTGAGCTCTAATAAGCTTAAACCCTGAAACCAAAATAAGTATATACAAAATATTGTTTAGCACTTAATGACACTTTAAATATACAAAGGCATTATAACTTAATACAGGAAACAGCAGAAGGCCTACTGGCCCATGTAAAGCAGTGCCTTTTAAGGAAACAATTATCAGAATAAAGATTATAACAAATTATTTTAAAGATGAAACATTTTCTTAAACTGTCAAATGGGCAAATAAATATATATAATTATCAAATTAACATAGGCAATAAATTAAATATCCATCTGTCTGGGTACTTTAATGATTTAAGACATCACAAAGAATTGATCTCATTTGTATGTAGAAAACATTGTTTGCATGTAGTAGACATTAAGCAACTATCTGGCCAAATAGATATTACTATACAATTACCGTGAAAGGTACAGACTTTAACCACACCTTAACCACTGCACTGCGCAAAGCGCCTTTAGGCGCTCAGAGAGTTGTGCTCTTTGTTTTTTAATTTGGCTATATTTTAATGTTTTTTAATGTTTTCATTACTATTTGTGTTTTGAAATGGAAATAGTTGACTTTGGAAACATTTTGACATTAAATTTACCTGAACATTTGTAAAAATAACAAAAATATGTCCTTGACAATTGCACCAAGACGTTTTTGCCGAAAATAGGTGAGCAGTGCAAGGGTTAATAATGGTCATCCTTTTACAATTTAATTCCAGATGTCGGGGACACGAGCCTATACATAGGCTTATCAAGGTCACCCTTAGTCAACTACCGACATTCCTCGGATGCAACCCAGAACAGTTGCCTATTTAGGTCAAGTGAATAGAGGCACCGGGTGAAAAGAAATGTACTCGACCATTTCTGTTCCTCCTGGAGAGTGAACCCGGGATCCTTGATTGTGAGGTGAGGACATAGACCTCTGTACAACAGGACCCGTGCAACAAACTCACCTTAGCTGTGCTCAGGTCTCCATTGTTGATCTTCTCAGCCAGAGCATCAAAGGTGGCCGAAGCATTTTTAAGATTGGTAGTAAGGTCAGCAAGAAGTGCCACCCCTCTTGGTAAATCACTGGCTATAGTTCCATTGGAGCCACTCTGCAAGTTTAATTCCAATTTGAGAACACTCTTACAATAAAACTATAATCTATAAATAGTTAACTTTGGAGTTTCTCTACAGCAAATATGCAAGTTTAATACTGAAATATTAAATTATGAAGCAATAGATCTGAATGTAAAAGCAAGCAAAAATAGAAAGCCATAAAATATCTTCGCTTGTGTTGGCTTGATAAAAGTGCACTACCTATTGATACTTTACCTAGAGAAGGTGGCAAGGCCTACCTTCTTCTCCTCCCTCTAATGGCTGCAACAGTATTATGCTGAAATGTGACAGTAACTTTTGCTGTCTTTTGTTCGTATGAATCATTAGGTTAGGATGTATTAGCTTACGTTAGGCTTGGCTGGGTTAGCCTGGGTTAACTTAGATTCTGTTGGATCGGGTAATATTGGGTAGGTTTAAATACATTAGCAAACCATCTTATGCATGAAATAACTTGTATCCATGTGGTGTTGTGATGAGTTGGGTGGGATGATGTTAGACGAGGTGGAGTTAGATGGGGGTAGACGGTAGATGAGATGAGGTGAGGGTAAAGTGAATGGGGTGATGTTGGGTAGAATAGGGTGCTGTACTTGCCTACTATAGCCTTGTTGTACCAGTTACATTATATTTTAGCCATTCTGATGATGGGGATGAGTGTGGGGTTGGCTGTAAGAACTGAGGTGGGGAAGGTTTGGTAGAGATTAAGTTCAGTTGATCATAAAAAAAACTCTTTGGTGAACCATCTAAATATAAAATAACCTGTAAGCTGCCCGTCCGACGACCACTTGCCTCTTGGACTGGGAGTTCAATCATGGTCTAACCCTAGTATATAACTCAGATTCCAACGCAAATTTACAACACTAAGGCTCTCAAAATCTTGTTTCTTGCACAGTTTAACTATTTTCATGCTTCGTTTATAGACTTGAGTTGATAATCACGCTGCGGGAGCCGAGGTGACGCACCAGTGGCACACAAACTGTCGTATGGTAGTTGCCACTAATGACGTATCCGCGTTTGTTCATTCGCGATTTACCGGAATTTACCTGAGGGGCCATTATCACTCTAGTGGCCTTGGCGGGGACAGGAAGCTGGCGGCTTGTCAATTATCCCCCTCTATTTGCCCTGATGACTTTTTCCAGCAGGATTTTAAAATTCAATAAAGTTTTAGCATTTATAGTTTTGGCGGGTAGGTTGTTCCATGGGTTTATTTTTTAGTTTTTATTTATATATATAAGAGTTCTTACATTTATTACAGGGTATTAAAAGTATCAACACAAGACAGAACATGAAACAATGGGTATAAATTGGATAAGTTTAGATTTAGGATTGGGTGGTTATAGATTGGAGCTGCCTCGTATGGGCCAATAGGCCTTCTGCAGTTACCTTGTTCTTATAGATAGAGCTAGTACATACAATACCTAAAGCCACTAATACGCATAGCGTTTTGGGTAAGAAGGTGTGGAGAAAAACACTTAGACTCAGCAATTGAACAAGTTGGTCGGCAAACAGCATTGTTTAGAAAGTAATAGTTTTCTTAATTGACTTTTTATAAAGTCAATTTATTTGGAAGTACTCTTATTGTGACATATGTACACTTTAAGATAACAAATATTGTGTTATAATTCAATAAAATAAATAAATAAACAATACTAATTATTATTTAATATAATGTTAATGAACAATTATTGTACATCTCTCATGCCTAGAGTCAGTAAACAATAACAATGACTACGAGCGTAAGAAATACTCTTCTTTTTTTATGATTTAAACAAAATTTAAAACTAAACCTTACACAATGTTAAAACCACTTTCAGAAAGTTTAGTATTTATATTTGAGAACTTGTGTATAAGTGCAATTGTCTAACCCATTTAAACTTGCTATCTTAGAGCTGACAAGATCAGTAGACATTGAGATTGGCCTCAGCTGACGATAAGTTATACACAAGCTCCGATTGTCGGCAAGTTAATGTTCGCTGGCCACAGTTGTTGTCAAGCTCAGTGTTCACTAGCCACAACTTTCGACAAGTTCAGTGATCACTGTCTACAACTTTCGACAAGTTCAGTGTTCACTAACTACAATTATCGAGTCGGCAAGTTCAATGTTCACAAGCTACAACTTGGTGTAGCAAATTTCAGTGTTTGCTAGCCCCGACTGTTGATAAGTTCAGTATTCACAAGCCACAACTATCCACATGTTCAGTATTCATTAGTCACATCAACTGACAAATTTAGTGTTCACTAGCCACAAGTTTTGCAACCATGAAGTTCAGGGGAAAGATGGTTGATATCTCCTGTATACGACAATTTGCAAGTGAGTTACCCAAGAGAATATGTTATTTAGAAGAGGTAATCTTAACCATTTCATTAATTTTATTCCATCATATAGTTGGGATTTGAAATATAAACTGCTGCCATAAGGCTTTTATTTTATTGATTTTTTAACTTTCTATATAATACTGTACTTATTTATCCAATATACATTAAAACATGTTAAGGTGGTTTGTTAGTAGTATAAAAATTATATATAGTACCAGTATTATATAAAACCACTAATATGCAAAGCATTTTGGTTGATTGAAATGGCTCTAAAGATATATGGGTTCTATAGTACAGTGGTCAACGTCCTCGACTCATAACCGAGGATCCTGGGTTTGAACCTGAAGTATCAAAGAAGCATTTGGGCAGTGTTTCCTTTTACCTGATCACCTAGCAGTAAGTATGTACCAGGGAGTTGGGCAACTGTTGTGGGCTGCATCTACCTTGAGGTTACCTTGAGGAGCTTCCGGGGCTTAGCGTCCCCGCGGCTTAGCGTCCCCGCGGCTTAGCGTCCCCGCGGCCCGGTCGTCGACCAGGCCTCCTGGTTGCTGGGAGCAAGTCAAGTCTATCTAGGGGAAAGTTTGAGAATAGGTTGAGGACGTTTCGTCCCCAAGGCTTCAAGGCTTCGTCCCCAAGGCAATCATTCGCTTTACCAGATGAAATTCATCCCACGAGTTCCAGCTATCCTGAGGGAAACTTCGGAGGGAACCAGCTGCCTATTGGAACCTCGATAAGCTTCAATACAGATTTCCTGACCCTGACAGCAGGCATTATTTATATATACTCTACATAAAGTTAGCTGAAGGGGCCTGACAGCTAAGTGGACAGCACTCAGAATTCGTAGTCCTAATGTTCCGGGTTTGATTCCCGATGGAGGCGGAAACAAATGGGCAGAGTTTCTATCACCATGATGATCCTGTTCACCTAGTAATAAATAAGTATACAGCACCTGTTCTATATAGTCAAACTGGCTTAATGCTTTTCCTTGTATTTAAATGACATCAATGACCTTGTTGTTTGAGTGCCGGATAGATTATCCAATAATCGATCTACTGTATTAATGTACAGTACAGTATATCTCTTTTGCAGATATTGTAAGCACAGTAGCAAGATTAGCCAAATCATGTGTTCTTCGCATCACTGATGAACGCTTGTTCTTCATCATTAATGAAGCTGGATCTGTAGGAAGCACACCTGGTCTCTGGGCAGAGCTTGACCAGGGGCACTTCTTTAATGAGTTTAACATGGAAGGTGTTTCACAGGAAAATAATGAGATTTATCTAGAACTGCAATCAGGTAAAGTAAAGAATTAACCTGTATAATTATAAGTGAAGACAGATTACATGAACTTCAATATGTCACTTAAATTCTTCAGTTACATATATAGATAGATAGATATAATATATATTAATAATAATAATGTGTATTACTGTAAAGGGGAAAGGTTGATTATCCATCTCTTGGATAACATTATTCATGTTCGTCTAATTGGGCGAGTAAATCTAGCATGGAAAGTGTGTTTCAACCAGAGATTCATCAAATTAATGTTCATTGAATCGAAATTCCACTCCTGTATGTACCAGCCCTCTGGGTAGCCAAGTTGTGAAAAAGATTGTATTTTATTAAGTTGTAGTAGAAAATAGTTTAGGAAACACTGGTTTGTGGTATACATTTTATACATATACATTTATGGTATGTATACATATGGTAAATCAGGTAAATTGGGTAAATTTTATGCTTGACTGTGTATGTTAGACTTTATAGTGTGTCGTTGGGCTTTGTAGTATGTTGATGGGCTTTATTATAATAATTGTTAATACTGTAATTCATTGTGTTGGGGGACAGGCAGCCAGTTTATGCATATAGTACATGTTAGGCTTGTATCGAGGTCCTCTCCAGGGTCGAATTACTGACCCCTTCCCTGGATGCAACCCCACAACAAGCTGACTAACTCCTGGGTACCTATTTACTGTAGGTGGACAGAGGCATTAGGAAATGCGGTCAACCATTTCTGTTCCGTCTGGGATATTCTGTTGTGGGCTTTGCAGTGTATTGTTGGGCTGTATATTGTGCATTAAGGTTTTATGCTTATGAATTTTACTAAAATGTTGGTTGGCTCCTGAACAATGTTGACAATTCAAAGTTACATGTACAAAAAAAAAATTCCTTTAAATAGCTGTAAATAGATGGCTAGTTTGTTACCTGATTTTGAGCCATAACAGAGATAACTATTTACATTTATAAGCATTTTATACAATTCTGTACAGTACTAAGGATATGTGCTGTACAGTACTAAGAATTCTGTACGGTGTTAAGGATATTTCTATTTATTTTCAGATAACCTCTCAAAAACACTGAATTCCATTAAATCCACTCAAGCAGCTGCACGAAGTCTAAAGGTGAAGCTTACAAAGAAGCACACACCTTGCTTAACATTAGAAGTGGAACTGGTAAGCTTATTTAAATCTTGAAATTTGCATTGGCTTGAAAGAGCATTGTTATACAGTCCACAGGAGTAAGAAATTTTCTCACTGAATCACTTTCAAAATTTCACTGTAAAAAACTGGGTAGTAATTTTACCATAAGAGGGAAATTATCAAACCATTATTGGACCATTATCAACCGTACCATTCGGTTCGGTTGGTTAGATTTGGTTGATTAGATTCGGTTTGGTTCAGCCGAACTGTGTGGCAGTTTGGTTGTTGTGGTTGTTAATCTTATACATGTTTGTCCCATTGTTCTGGCACTTTGTTCACCCTTTGTGCTTCGGTGCACCACATTAATAATGAATAATAATTATAATAATAATTTATTTAAGAAAGAGTACATAAGATACATAAACACTTAAGGATTTATAGGCAAGACATGAACAATGTTTTATACCATTAATATGCAGAGTTTTGGTTATGATTTAAAACAAAAAAAGGAAAAATTTACGATCTTAATAGGTTATTCCTCTCCAATTTTGTGGTGGCATTGGTATCGTTCCCTGTCCATATGGGCTGGTTGTTCCTGTCCATATGGGCTGGTTGTTCCTGTCCATATGAGCTGGTTGTTCCTGTTCATATGGGCTGGTTGTTCCTGTGCATATGCTAGCTAGCATGGCCTCGGCATTGTCGTTACACATGCACTGCAATTACGATATGTGATAGATTGCTACTTAGCTGGCTGCACTGTGTGGTGACATGGCTTTCTACTTATGCCTCTGTATATATATGGTGTTTTGTTTTCTACCAGCAATGTTAATATCAGTCTCCCTCTGAGATTATCATCTTTACATCACGTCCAAAACTTTGTGGCTAGCTTCTACCCTACATGGAATCTACGTGCAACATGGAAAGAAAATGAGTTTCTTTAGAATGTTTGAAGGTTATTTCTCATGGGTTCTCTACATGAACGGACTTTAAACAGTCCTGCCTAAAAGCTAGACTTACAGTACTTAAAATACTTGTACACACAAAGCGAGGCACATCTAAAAAAATCACTATCAAATTAGCATGAAAAATAATAAAATGTCACCAAATGTTATTTTATTCATTATGGTCTCAGCATGGTATATAACGTTCATGTTCCTCGCTGAAAAATATTGTTTGAGAGTATAGTTTACTGTAAAAAAAAAAAAATGGCCATCCAAATATGTGCAAAATTTAGACACAAAAAAATTATAACTCGAAGCGCTATGGCTTTATGACTAAATGACCATGAAGACACCTTAGAACTAAGAACGTTTCACATAATATGTAAAAATAGTGAGAATCGGTTAGAAACTTAATTTTTGATGCTGTCTCAAAGTTGATATTCATGTTTTAGAGATAATTGAAGTTGACATTATTGACAATGAATATGGCAGTTCTAATTAATGAATTTTCTTGTAGGTTTTAATGAACATTGCTTGGCATTCCTACTTGAATATGTGAAAGCTGTAGGTCAATATGTGTTGAAATGAGTCAAGAAAAAATAACCCCCCAAAAAACAAAATATAGGGATAGGGATAACAAACATATATACATTGCAGTAACTTTTATTGCTCATATATAAGTGATAAGACCCTCATCTGGTCCTTATTCATCAATAAATAAATAAATTATTAATAACCAATTATTATTTGGTTATTCATAATAATTTTCTCTCATTCAGCCATCTCTATCAGTTCATGCAAGAACTGTGGTGCATGATGTTCCAGTGCAGCTAATTCCTCGGAGACAATGGTACCTTTATCAAGAGCCAGAAATGCCCCAGTTTGATGCATCAGTGTATTTGCCTCCACTTCGTCAACTGAAGCATGTAGTGGAGCGCATGAAGACGCTCTCGACACACATTACACTCGCAGCTAACAGGAATGGCACACTGGTTGTGTCTGTGTCCACTGATGTTGTTAATGTGTCTACACATTTCAAGCAATTATCTATGCCTGTTTGGGGTAAGTGTCATTTAGTTATTGCTTGCTAGGAATTAGGGTCTTGGGAGTACAGTTGGGTTCATTCTCGAATCACAATCATGAATCCCAGGTTCGAATTCTGGATGGGACTGAAATGGTTGAGCATTTCCTATTACCTGATGCCTTTGTTCTAAATAGCAGTAAATAGGTACCTGCAAATTAGTCAACTGTTGTGGGGGTTGCATCCTGAAGATGGTCAATAGTTCGACCATAGGGGGAGGACCCAAGTAAAGTCTTATATGAATTAAACAAATCCACAAAGACCGTGACGAGGGTTCAAACCTACGTCCGAGAGGATCCCAGACGCTGCCTTAATTGACTGAGCTACGACATGGATAAGAATTGCAATTGAGAAATCATCCTGATTTACCAACGGATCCTGCAATCTCTTCGAGACACAAACCAGGGTTTTACGCAATTTCCCCATGCACTGGAGCTATGTCAATAGGCTGTTTTACCTCTTAGTCCTTACTTCATTACACATTTGTTCATTTGTTCATTTGATGCATCACGCTACTGTGATGTGTGTGTCTTATATGATTTCTCATAATTATGGATATTAATCTTTGTAACAGTTTCTGAGAGTTGTACTAAATGGAAGTGAATATGAATAGATAAGTTTTTTGAGTGGAGTACTACAAAGTTCCATCTCGAGGCCAGCCCTCTATGTAATATACATAAATTTGATGGGGTACCTGGTAGTGCCCAAGTCTCTCCCTCCCCTCTCTCTTATCCCCCCATCTTTTTCCCCTCTTGCTCTTTTTCCATCCTCTCTCTTTTCTCTACCCTCTCCTTTCTCTACCCTCTCCTTTCTCTCCCCCTCCTTTTTCTCTCCTCTCCTTTCTTTCTCTTGTTCTTTCTTCCCTCCTCTCTTCCCCTCCTCTGTTTCCACACTTCCCTCCTCTCTTCCCCTCATCTTCTTCTCTTACCCGCCACTATCTTCTTCCCCTCCTCTATTCCTTCTCACTTTCCTCCCCTTCTCACCTCTAATCACCCCTCTTTCCCCATCCTATAACCCCCCTCTTTTCCCCACCTAACATCCCTTACCTCGATTCCCCGATATCTCTCCTCAACTCCTACCCTCTCCCACCTATCTCTTTCTTCTCCCCCCTCTTCTTCCACTATCCTCAAGACAAAGCACAAAACCATTACAACTAATATAGCACTTGGAAGGGATCTGGATAAGGATTTGGGATGAGACAGGGGGAAGGAATGGTGCCAAATCACCTGGACAATTGGGAATTGAATGTCGACCTGCATGAAGCGAGACCTCATTCCTCTGAGGTCTACCGTCTAGCCCAAGTGGTTGGGCAACCAATAGGGGGAATGAGGTAAACAAATATCATGGATGCATGACAACTGGCAGCCCAGTCATTAATGTTCAGCTATGCCAGGCCAAGTGCAAGGCAAGTATTGTTAGTGAAATGAATCCAATCAGCAATCAGACAACAAGGGAAGGTGTGTGAAGCCACGTACTAGAAAAATTTTATGTGAATCAAATGAATTCCTAGCCATTGGAGTAAGGAACAAACACTTGCGAGTCTGGGCTAAGCATAACGCAAACTAACCTTTAGCTAGCTACATCAGTTTCCCATTAACAGACCTTGTTGTAAGACAGGTTTCAAGGACTACCCAGAAGCTTACCCAGGTAGGAGGAAATGTGTAAAACGTGTTCCTCTGTGCATGTAAAACAGAGGAATACCCTGCACTTATCATACCATGCCTCATGTTTTGATATATTGTCCCATCTGAGCACACTTAAAGCTAGAGCTGAGTGTACATGCAAATTTATGTTTTATAAACTTAAGATGAAGGGTTTACAGTACATTTTACAGAGGATCCATATATTTTTTGGAATAGTTTGCCTTTCTTATACTGAATTATGCCTACGTGTGTAAGATTTATAAATTTAGCAGAGAATAAGTCAGAGTAATGGGGCTAAAATAACTAACTAACCCACACATATTTAATGAAATAAAAGTGACTGCTTAAGGGTCCGGGATGGACTGAAGTGTCGTCATTTCATTTCATATGTGTGAGTTGGGTTATCTATAAATTAAACAACAAATATTTTCTACACGGTATATAGGGGGGTACCACCTCTGGTGCAATTATAGGGACCCACAGCCTCATGTATGTTTTAATTTGTATTTTGTGGAGCATATTATGTTACTGCATATACAACTTTTCAGATGGGCAAGGTAATAATGATGATGATGATCCAGAAGTGCTTAATTCGGCCACAGTGGACATTAAAAAACTGGCTTTCTTCCTTCAGGGTGATCAAGTCAACCCAACCAAGGTCATTTGTAGTAAGTGTGATATAAGTTTTATATATTCTGGTGATCTGTTTGTATAACGATGACCAAACCACAACTCGGAAGATGGAGAAGGGACGACGTTTCGGTCCATTCTGGACCATTATCAAGTCGCGTTGTCAGTCACACACGGCTTGATAAAGGTCCAGAACGGACCGAAACATCGTCACTTCTCCATCTTCTGAGTTGTGGTTTGGTCATAATTTCTTCAGCCACTTTCTTGTGACTCATCATCTGCATCTGTTGGTATATAATGTCCTTGTTACTCTTTATGACCCCTTGTGGGAAGTCATTCATCACCACCTAATAGTGTTGAAAGTTCTTGATGCAATATTTACTAAACAGTCCAAACACATAAATTAGAGCACCAAGTGGCATTGCAATGTGATTAGCAACGGAAATAGATAATTAGTGGGAAAAAAAAAACTCAAGTATCTCAACGTGGAGGTTGGTGTATTCTTCTCTTGTGCAGGAGTGAATTCCGAGAATACCTCCTTTTCTGGACTTAGTTCTCAGTGCGGTTCACATTCTGGGCATGTCAAACTTGCTCAGATATCTCTCCCAGCTGCTTATTTCCATGCTGGCCACATTGGAGACCTGTATGGATGGCTTGAGTTTTTAAATCTTGTGTAATGAATCACCTGTTTGAGAAATAGGTGATGGAGTTGTTGTCGTGCAAAATTTTTATCTTTCCCCAAGGCTGCATTAAGAATTGGCATTGTCAATCTTCCAGTTATTTCTCTTCAGTTCCTGCTGGGTTTTGGTATTTTTTGTCTGGCCCATTTTCTGATTTCTTCATCATTTGAAGATTTCTGTTTGATGGCTGTCTTTCTCTTGGCTCTGGTTTCTGGCTGTTTGGTTGGTTATGAACTTCATGTTCTTCACCAGTGTGGGATTTTTGTTCCTTTGGTCATGGTAATAGTTTTCTTTGCCTTCAAGCTACTCTCATTTGCCTTGTTAGCCTGAATATCTTAAGGCAGTAGTTTATTTTGTTCTGCCTTTCAGGTAGATTTTTCTTGCTCTTTTCACCATGTAGAAAGAACCCAGTTCTGGCCCTGTCTTCCTGAAGATCATTGTGGGTCTTAGAAACCCTGATACACTTCTCTAGTGGTTTTATAATATTTATTTACATACGAGGAGGCACATCAGGTTGTGAAAGTACGCACATTGGTGATTGAGTACAGTATTACATTCTTGTAAAGCCGCTAACATGCATAGCATTTTAGGCAGGACCTTAAGCTAACCAGTAAATTTAAGAATAGATAGACAGATAATAACTATATTGTAAAGTGATAGGACCTGCAACTTCATCACTATTATCTACCTTGTGTTACCAAACCACCCAAGTACTTATTTGGGTGGTTTGGTAGCACAAGTTACAGTGAGAGTTAATAGCACAAGGTGGGAAACTGTCAATGAAATTAGGTCTTTTGCTTCTACTTTTAAATAAAGTATAGGTTGAAATTTTTTTAATTCATTAGGGGGCGAGTTCCATATACCGTACTGGGTCATTTTACTTGCATGGAGTGTTTGCACAGATTTAGTCCAACTTTAGGAATCTCGGAGATATTTATTTCTCTACTTGCTCATGAGTTCTACCAAGGAAGAGTTTAAAATCGGGATTCAAATCTAGGAATAAGGGTTTGTAAGTGTAAAATAGAACAAGAGAATGTTTGGAGTGTAGAATGTTTAGGGATATAAACAGAGGGGCAGTGTGTTGTCTGAGGACAAGAGTTTGTATTAGTTCTGATAGCAGATTTTTGCTGGGTGATGATGGGCTGAAGGTAATTTGTAGTGGTTGGACCCCATGCACAGATACTGTATGTTAAATAGGGGTAGATTAGCAAGTAGTATAGTGTAAGAAAAGCAGAGCAGGGAACATACCTGATTTTTAAGAGTATACTGACAGTTTCAGAGGGTGATACTGTGGGTTACCAGAGAACATTATTTTAGTTATTCAATATTTGAGTGCAAGATTTGTGTAGTAATACGATATTTTTTTTTAATTGTGATATTAATATTTTGCATTGTTGTATTAATTTCGTATACATACAGTACTGTAATTAAGCCGAGATTTAAATAATTTTTTTTTAATATCCTATTTATTTGCAGATATTGTTGAGAAGCGTGTTATTCATATGTTCCTCTTGCACGATGACGTGACCTTGCAGTATTTTCTTCCAGCGGCGTCAAACACCTAGCAATCCCAATATACAGTCAATTTATTTTTTCTTAGAAACTCGTGCCCCTTGAGTGGGTGGTAACATCAACAGCTCCTGCCTTTTACATAATCATCTATTCCATTTTATACCCTCTCATTTTCTTATGGCATCTGTTCTGTATGCTCTGATCTTCACCTGACCCCATTTCATGATGTTCATTGATTATGGTCACTTAATTTCATTGTAGAATATCTTGTATATTTTAATTTCAATCCTGTCATCCATCATTCTTTACAAGTGCACTACAAATTGTGTGTTCAATATATTCCGTTACTTTCTCTTCATTTATTAGTTGTAAAAGCATCCACAAATTGTGCTTTTTATGTTTGAATTATTAATTTGTTTAATTTCATATCTGTAGTCTCAAAAGGAGAAGACAAAATCTGTTTTTTTTTTGTTTTTTTTCAGTTATATTTCTTAGGATTCCTTGGAAGTATTATATCATTACGAACACTTACATATTTTGCCACATTTCAGCAACTTCCTTGCTTCTCGCTTATCTTGCATTATGTTAAATTCCTTCACTATTATATTTCTTCCATGCACCTTCTCTGGTATTCTCAGGAAACTAATATATTTTCCTTGCTTTCGTAACTATCCATGCTCTTGTACAAGGGCACTATTTCTTCCTGTACATACCCAGTAGTTATCTAGTACTTTTTTGTTCTAGGCTTGCATACTTACATTTGGTACAGTCCATCTACGAATGTCATCAGCATGTTTTTAATATCTTCAATTATTTCATTTGTTCCAGGAAACTTTCCCTGATTTTGTCCTCCTTGCAGTTTTTCTTATCACCCGTGACTATGTTTTGTAGCTTGATGTTTTCTCGTTACTTCCTGACTTCCCTCTTCCTATTTGATGACACTAGCTCTAATTAGCACTCATTCCATTGTTCATGTCTCTGATCATCTTTAGATTAGAAACTTCCTTCTATACCTCATTATTTTGTACCCCCGTTTTTGTCTCTTACTCTTTCTTACTTCTGCACATACAGTTTTGTTTGATCATGTGTACTGTATTACCGAAATACGTTATTAATTTTTGAGTCAATTTATTCAATTTTATTCCCACTCGTATATATTTACTGAATTGTATTCTGTAATAAAAGTTTTTAAATAATTTTCTTTAGGTATGGGTACAAAGTAAACAAAAAGTAAATCACAGAATGGTACCTTGAAAGACAAATAGTTTTACTCAAAATGTCCACAAAAAGGTTAAACAATGGATGGGACACCATGAGCACAGCTCTTGCTATAATCACACACCATAGAAACCAAACACACACACGCATTTACAAAAAGTGATGATCGTAGTTTCAGCATTGTTAAACCAAACACTGTAATGTATGTTATTTATACAAAAATAAAGGTTCCTAGCAATTAAGCTTTTCATCATTGAGAATATCTTTAGGTCCATCCTTTCTGCCATACTCATTCTGGGTATCCCTTCACACAAAACGAACATTTAGAAATGTTCATGCTCTAAGTATTGTGTATGCCAGTTATACATTATAATTACATATGTTATAAAGTAGAATGGATCTACAGTTCACGAGTAAGAAATTTAGTTACACTGTTTCAACACCCGTTGTCAATTGTCCATTCATAGTGTTCTTGGAGATCCCTGTCAGCTCGCCTAATCCTCTTGCATCTATTGCCATGACTCCCACCATATTGGGTGGGAGTCATTAATTAATTCCTTCCTTCCACAGAGAGGGGGGGAAAAAGCAGGCTAATTATAGGGAGTAGACATGAAGGCAGTTTATAAGCAAAGTTAAAAAGTTGAGGATTGTTAAAACTCGTGTATAAGGAACTGTATTTTAGTTTAATTTTCTGTTTATGGATGGGAATGAGTAAGTGAATTCTGATAAAGTGAACACATTTCACCAGAATATTGTCCATTTGTAAACTTTCTTACTGCTGTAACAATTCTTCTGTCACATACAGAATTCAGTTGAACAGAGTAATGTTTTAAAGCGATGTACACGAGTTATTACCCAAGTGTGGTTACAGGATGAGAGCTACGCTCGTGGTACTGTATCTCATGTTCCCAGTACTCTCATATAATGCTTTGAAATTAATGACAGTTTTGACCACCACCACCTTCTCACTTAACTTTTTCCAACCGTCTAGAATATTTACTAGTGGTAACTAGTGGCAAATAGTGGTAATGTTTTTAAAGCAGCTTTGTTTCTTAAGTTTGAACCTACAGTATGTCCTCTTGTTCTTGAAGTTGCTCTTACTATTTTGTATGTAATATCATACAAAATATTAACAAGAACCAACAAAACTGACAAGAATTAGAAAAAAAGAAGTTGCAGTTTTAAAAAATTCTTCTTTGTCAGTTTTGTTGTTCCTGTTACTATTTTGTACATAGTAATGTACGAAATAGTAACGGCAACTTCAAGAACAAGAGGACATGATGTAGGTTTAAACTAAGAAAACAGATCTGCCAAAAAAACATTGAAAGTTTTCTTTTGCAGAGTGGTGGATGGCTGGAAAAAGTTAAATGAGAAAGTGGAGGAGGTTGAAACTACAGGTACTGATGGTTTTGAAGCATTTATGACAGTACTGGGTAGACGGGGGAAACCATAAGCAGATAGCTCTCATCCTGTAACTACACTTCTTGGGTAATTTTGCTCAAACACACACACGTCTTTCAAACGGAGCTCGTTCAATTGAAGTGTGTGTGTGTGTGTTGTGTAATAAATGATGTACGTTAAATTAAGATCTATGATTTCTTAAGTAAGTTGGAGAAGGAGTGTTTGCTCTCGAGTTGCTTCGACTCTGGAGTCCTTCTCCCAAATCCACATTAAGGTGATCATCACTTGTAGCAGTCCGTTTCCGGGCTTCCCTTTCATTACGTAATCGGCTCTTTTCATTTTCAAACAAAGCTTCCTTTTCGACCTAAATAGAAATGCAAAAGTTAGATATCAAAGTGATACAGAAAATGTTTGACTATCCATGAAATGAGCAACTATATCCAAGGCAGTATTTAATAAAGTACTGTACTTTCATCTATTCAAAATATTTCATGAACTAGACTTGAGTATTATTGTAGCATTAGCACAATAATAATAATACAGCTCAATACATAATACTCTGGTAATACAGCTCAATTACCAGAGTAAACGTGCCTAGCTTAGTCTCGCATGTTACACAATTAATATACAGTAGATTCACAATTGACTAGAATTATTTTGACACAAGGAGAGCAAGTGCTACCGTTACTTTGTGCTCCCTGGGTCAAACAATCAATGGAGATATGCCACTCCACAAACACTAAAATGATACACAGCACACCTACACTAAAACATCACACAACATTTATTATATATACCTGACCACAGGCTTAAATTCTACCATAACAGATATATACTGGTATAATTGGAAGAAATCCCCTTCGTCGAGCATGAAGGAACATCTTCATGCTCAGGGGAAAGGGGGATGTTCCTGTAACTTTAATAGTGTTGTTTAACCATACAGTACTGAGTTTGTGCTTCCTCTGAATTAACTGCCGATATTTTCTGATATTGCTTAAACGGTGAAACAATAGTTTTCTTACCTTTTTCTCTCTCTTCATCTGGTTTTTAACTTCAACAGGTACATCTGGAATAGCCATGGCTACTGCCCCAGTGAGCAAAAACACCACATGCTGCAAATATAGAAAAGATAAATACAGTATATATGTTCAGTATAGTATTTATTTCATATACAATAGTGACAAATATCTACAACTATTGGCTTCTGTCTACAACTATTGGCAGGGTCCTTGGACTGACATTACAGGTAATAAACTGTGTGCTCTTAAGAATGACCTTTACTCTTGGCCTTCCTCCTGCCACAGTAATAGGTTTTGGGGGAGAGCTCTGGCTAGGTTGGTCACATTTGTTTGACTCGTGGTCATTTAGTGGAACAATGTCCAGCTCCCATTTTTCCTAGCTGTGTTGTCCCACATAGTCTTACACCTTGTCAGTTGTCCTGATTTTGAAGATGTTCTATCGTCTTGCTTTTTTGACGTTCCTAGGAGTCTGTTATCTCTCGTTAGCATTCTTGACGATTCTGATACCTTTGATATCGTTCGCCTCATGTCCTTCTGTTCTCGTATTGGCATCTTAAATGATTAGCATCTATTAAATACTTTGCAACAGTCTCCCTAGCTTGGTACCTTTTTTTGATAATTACTTACTTTACCCTGTATCCCTATCCTTATTACAAGTTTTCCAGAGTTCCTTATTCTACTTCGAACCAATTCCCCTTCTTACTAGTGCTCTGGTCATGTAAACCAAACAAAACTCTGTACCTCAAAGATGAGTATGAAGGCCAGACGAGCAGTAAAGACATGCCAGAACTGTAAAGTGAAGCCATAAGGGTGTTCCCCATCTGGGCCATTGCGATATGCTCTATAATGGCAGATCGGCGGCCACCCTGTCCGGTTCTCGGGTCCCATGTCTGCTGTGTACTCTGACGTGTTGAATACTGCAAAATAAACATATTTTCAGAGTTTAATATATTGCTTAAAAATATTCATATTTAACTTTGACAATAGAAGTTTAATTTTAAAAGATAAAAAAAAACTCATTTTATATATTGTTTATATAAACAAGAGACTAAAGCAGGAGACAACTATTTTCCAAGAACAACAGCATAATTGCAGAATGAAACATAGCTCTGTAGTTTACACAAAAAATTTAGCATGAAACATTGCAAGTATTTAGTTACTTTATCTGGATATTATGCAATAGTTAAAACCTCTTGGTTATTATGTTTGTATGGAGCATCCAGACTTGCACTTACCAGAAAGAGCATTTTCCATGTAGCCTTCAAGTGTTCGTCCTCTAGGAGAGTATCCATACATGTACACTAAGCGAGGAATAAAGTCACTTGTGTACGAAATAACCATTGCCTGAAAAAAAAGTTATACAAGCATACAAGATCATAAAATGCAGAGCGAGTTCCACAGCAACAAGCTTGACCTAATAGTGGGCTTAAGGCCTATCAACCTCAAGAGGGCTATGATTGTCTATCAACCTCTGGACTGTTGATAAGGCCACCACAAAAGTTTCCTGACCAATTAACAGAACTAAAGTTACTCAAACATCTTTTTGCCCAATTGGGAGAGAACGGGAGTAAGGAAGGGAGAGAGAGCGAGCCAGGGAAAACGAAAGGGCATGAGAGCGAGAGAGAGAGGGGGCGGGTGTGGAAGGCAAAGGGAAATGGATAAAGGGTGGAGAGATAGATGAACAGATAGAACGACCTGCACACTGCCGGGTAACCCTTCCAGGTTTTTTCTTTTTATGTATGATTATTAAATGTCTTTTTATGTAATCCACATCAAAGTAATACAGTATTGTACATTTTAGATATTTATAAGGAAGCTTAGACTTACATTTGTAAAGACTGAAAAGTAGGTGATACCCTTGAGGATGCTAAACCAGATGCCAATATCTTGAACCCTCTCTGCTCGAGGCCTGCGACACTGAGTTAGATACTTGTAGGCATCCAGTCTGATCTCTATGAAATTATTCAACAGGGCAAACAGTGGTGCCAAGGGAAATGCTGCCACGAATATGGTCACAAACCCATACTGAATCACTGCAAAGTGTGACTTTAGATCAGGACAAGTATAATGGTTAGTGTAAGAAATAGTTATATATAATGTTTGCACAACTTCACTGTATATACTAACTTTGGGTACTACTATATAATATTCTTGGGATGAAGTAATGCAACAACAAGCATCTATGGAAGAAAATAGTTCAACAACATTCTCCAGAGGAAATCACAATAAAAACCATCGCAAAATAACCCTAAGTGATTTAACAATTTAATGTGTAATGAGGCCTTTGCACTGTAATAACCAATTAAACAGAAAAAATTGAAATTAAAGAAAACTTAAAACTAAAGAAATGACAATTTACATGGAAGGCTAAACAAATTATAATTGCACTGTTAGTGAAGTTTGAAGCAATTTTTGCAGCCAAATATGAATCCATTTGATACAATCCTGGACTAATATTTATAACTAGCTGTACCTGGCCACACGTTGCTGAGCCACAGCAACGCTCCCCCTTTCCCTCGTCCTCTCCACCATTCCCCTCGATCTCTCGACCATTCCCCACTTCCCTGTACTCTCGTCCTCCCCCATCATTCCCCCTTTCCCCTCATCCTCTCCCCCCTACCCTACTCCCTCGTCTCCTTGTCCTCCCCACTATTCCCCACTTCCCCATCTCCTTCTCCTCCCTACCATCCCCTATCTCCTCATTCTCCCCACCATTCCCTCACATGAAAAAAACAGTTTAAAAAAAAACATGGTTTTACCTGTCACAGATTTTACATCTATATAGTAGGTATATATATAAAAACATGTGCGTATTCAAATACCTGTACAAAGGTGTCAAAAATTTAAAGCAATTGTGAAGAAATTTTGGATATTTCTCCTCACGTGAAAAACATGGTGTGTGTTGCTTTTACGTCCAACATATGGCACTGTTTTTTTTAAAGCATGTTTTTACCTGTCACAGGTGTGTATCTATATAGTAGGTATATAAAAACATGTGCGTATTCGAATGGAACGTTGTCAAAATTTCAACGCAATCGGTGAAGAACTTTCAGAGACTACAGTGTGTTGTTCTAACATCCAACATATAGTGCTGTTTCAAAATTTCAAAGCAATTGCTAAAGAGGTTTTGGAGATTTCCCACACATGAAAACTCACATGAAAAACACAGTTAAAAAAAAAACATGTTTTTACCTGTCACAGATGTGACATCTATATAGTAATTTCTGTAGTACCTGGGATTCAAATTCATGATTCCCGACTAAAACATTGACAAAAACAAAGTATGAATAGAAAAAACAGTGCATGAATTTACCCATTTCCAGGTATTCATTAAAGAGAGAGAGACGCGTGTAAGGTGAGAGGTCGTAATCTTGTTCCCAACGCGTATAGGACTCGCTCAGCTGGTTGTCATGGCCTCTGTGCTTGTTCCACCACACCCGCATTATCCTGCATGCACAAACATACGTACAACATTTAATATTTAACAAATACACTAAACGTATTAACTAATAGACATGTATTCTCGTGAAACTAAAAAAACTTCTATGAACATTCTTTATTATTAAAATTATACATGATATTAGAAATCAAAATTTGAGAGACTAGTTTTAAAAAAATTAAAGACTTTACCAAAATAAATAGGCCTATACCTTCTTCATCTGCCCTGAAGCAGTCAAATAATATTATTAATTGCATTGTAATCCTATTGGAAACAACGTGTAGATTTTATTGCATACATAACATTTAGAAGTAAGTGTTTTAATGGAAAACAAAAGATAGCTGAATGGTAATGGTAGGCTGGGTTTGCTTATTTTTAGTTATGATGGGCTGGGCTGGGTTGGGTTAAATGATAGATTAAGATAGGCCGAGTTTAGTTAGGTTTTGCTGGGTTAGGCTAATTTAGGTTAGGTTAGGTCATAAATTGTTAATGTGCCTGTACTTGATCACCGAGTGAAAAATAAATCAAAATAGTTCAACTCACGGCCAAAATATTTCAAGGATATTACTGAGTAGTTGCTTCCCAACCATGATGATAGCCAGTTGGACAAAGAGCTCAAAGAGGCAGCCAGCTGGGTCACACATGTCATAACGAAGCTTCATCAGTACATTAGTGCGGGCCTCAGTGTCGCCCGGGTGATAGAAGAACCGACCCTGAAGAAAAGGTTTCCCAAATATATAGTTTTTAAAGTGCCAACAGTTTCTAATGTAAAAATAGTTTCTAGCATTAGGCAAGGCGGACCTGTCCTCGGGATTCCCCTCATCCCCAACACTCCCGTCCCCTTGTCCTCCCCACCATTCCCCACTCCCCCATCCCCTCGTCCTCCCCACCATCCCCTACTCCCCCACCCCCTCGTCACTTAATGCTCTTAGTTCCTATGCTGCTGATGTTCATAGCTTCCCTGTAGTAGATTTCCAGTTATTAGCTATCACCAGGCACAGCCCTTCTTCACGTACCATAGTACGTCCCATAGTACCCGTCCCATCGCCGAATACAGCAGAATAGACTGTTTGCTCAAATGTTAATGATAATTGTATTTATCCAGTCCCACCTCTGATGTGAAATTTACGTGCCATTTTCCATCCTATTCGAGTATGACGGATCAAATATATCCTACTGAAGGCTCGTAGTTTAGTTTGGAAAAATCTTGGTACTTCTCGGTAAATGGCCACTGCTTTTAGCAGAAAAGCGGTGATATTTCTGATGGGCAAAAAAGAGACAACGCTATGCGTACTAGTGGCTTTAGGTATTGTATGTACTATCTCTATCTTTAAATCCAACATTATGTATGTAACTCAATGTATGTACCTTTACCTGAATAAAAAATCTAAATCTAAATCTATCTAAATATTTAAATTGGCGTCAAATTATAATATATACAATAGAATATGCTCTATACAAATAGAAGAAAATGAATCGTACATTATGTATTATAGAAAACGGACAATCTAGGGTATACTACACTACCACCCACAGGATGGGTATAACAAGGGGACCAAAATTATTCACAGGGTCACGGGAGACATATCCCTTCACGCAGGGTGTAGTCGCACCTCCACAGATCTCCAGTATCAGTTAATGATGCTGGTAATGGCTCAAAAGGGCCACTACTTACGGACTATTCATGCCCGTGCCACCTTTTGGATGGCTTAATCTTCATCAATCATCTTTTATTCACAGGATGGGTATGGGTTCCACAAGCCCCTACGGAATGGGAATAGGGACCATTACATTCATAGAAAGGGTATTTGGTCCAATACTACCTGCACATGTACTCTGTATTCCCCACATGTGAGTACAGAGTTACTAGATAAGTACATGCACTCTGCACCACTCTGCCTATAGGGTGGGTATAGGGTCCACTACTACCTGTAGGATGGGTATGGGGTCCATTACTGCCTACAAGAAGGGTATGGGGTCCACTACCATCCACATGATGGTTATGGGGTCCACTACCACCCACTGAAGTATACTCAGTATATGATTACACCGAGAAGCAGGGTACACAGTTCTGTGTATAGATCCATTGTTGCTTATTATTTTGATCTACTACTACAAGTTGTTATTCTCCATGTTAGGCTGATTACTCAATGCTCCATATTATGTAATTTACTTTAGTACATTAAAATTGTTAGCAACGCCCTCTTCAGAGTTCTCTTGATCATACTTTTAAGTCTGTGGAAATAATTTTTATCCCACACTCAACCCAGTGCAGAATAGTCCGATAAACGTAATCTTTGTGGCGTTTTCAATATAACTTATCCACTGGATTTTTGACGCTGTGGTCTATCTCATCAAAACTGCTATGCACTAGAGGTAAGAATAAGTTGAGTACACATGTGTTCTTTCACATTTTCTGACCATTGCAAAATCCACAAAATGCTGCAGTAGTTACCTTGAAGAAAGCAATATATATGAGAGAGGAGTAGAAGTTGATGAACTGGAAGAGGAACATCTTGAGAGTGAAGGAGTCCTCGTACTCCGTCTCCGTCCTGGGGACCTCCAGGTCCGTCAGCCAGGACACCAGCTTCTCGTAGAACTGCACAAAACACAAACATAAAAAATACAAGAACTGAACGCAATTAGCACACACGAGAACACACAAGCCTAAGCACACGAGAACACAGTAGCCTAATCACAGGAGAACACAGCCCTAAGCACATAAGTACACAAACATAATAATAATAATAATAATAATTTTTATTTAGGTAAAGGTACATACATAAAGAGATTTTACAAAGTTTGTTGGCTTTATAGATAGAGCTAGTACATACAATGCCTAAATAGCCACTATTACGCAAAGCGTTTCGGGCATAATGTTATTAAACTGCTAACCTTGAGCAATTAAAATCTCTACCCAGCCCAGTCCTCAATCCAGTATATATATTGAATACCAAAAATCCACTATATACAGTCCCTATCATCTATGAGTGCGAGGTTAGATCAAGACTTACCAATGTATTGTTAATTTGGTCATGGTAAACAGATGATGTTTAACAAAATAACTGTGAATTCAAAATATTAACTTCTAAGGAGTCTAGCAACAAACTACACCACCAAATCTACAAGAACTACTAAGTACACTGCGCCAGTGATCAATTAGAGAGTTAATTCCCACTAATTAGTTTACCTGGGCACATACTAACACCTCGGCAGTACCCTTAATTATAGTATTCCACAAAAATATACTAACTAATGAGATTAACTTTTTTTTAAACACTTACGAAATACCTGGACCTATTAGTTATTTGAACTAGTGAGAGACTAGACACCCAACCCACACATCTGACAATAAAGCGACGACAATTCGGTTTGATTCGCTCCGATTCGGATCATTATGAAGTCGGACCGAAACGTCGTCAATTCCTTTATTTTCAGATGTGTGAGTTGGATGCCTGATTTTCAGCCAGGTTATTGTGACTTGCTGTCTGTATCACGAAAGTCTAAATGAACGTCTTTAAATCTACAGAAGGGGCGGTAATTATGGTAGATAAGTAGAACAACTTCAAGTACAGCATACGCATATGTTGATGTAACCTGTATATGCAAAGGTTGTTAATGTATACGCAAAAGATGATCTAACACTTATACACTAAGGTTAACATAACGCGCATATACAAAATTAGTTTAGTTCATGACGTAATGTCAATTAAGATAAATTATTAATACAGAAAACGTTTCGTAACTGGTTGGGTAACTACGATATAAATTTGTACCCGTAACGAACTGCAGAAGCGTCACTCTTATTTCACGAGTGACTCAGTCAGAACTTACATAATTGAGTATAATGATGACCATGAGGTTGAGACAAGCGGCCGTCATTGACGTGACGATCTTAGCGTTACGTCTGAAGAGGTCTGATTCAGTCTGATGCATGGCAATCACCACAGCCATACGGTAGATGATGACGCTGAACATCGCCGCCACCACTACGAACAGCTGCATGCACGTAAAGTAATAATGAGCAGAATGCGCTAAGTCAAAAGTATAATATAGTATTTGGAAGGGATACGAGCCAGACTAAAAGTTGAGATTTGAGAATCGACTAAGAGCTAGGGTATGAGGACATTAAGAGCTATGATTTGAGAACGGAGTAAGATACGCCAACTCACCCCCTTGCCCAGAAGATGGGTATGAGGTCAACAAATCACCTACAGCATAGGTATGTAATGCATAACAAACTAAACATTCAAATCCTCCGACTCACCAAAAGAAGAACAAGGGAATTCGCCGCCACAAGGCGAGTGATCTGGCTCCACAACGGCAAGTAGGGTTCGGGTTTATTTGTGACGGGGTTTATCCTAGTGGTAGTGACCTTCTCCTCGTACTCTGGTCGGAGTTCCTCCTCCTCCTCGTACCCGTCCATGTCCCACTGCCACTGGATCACCGCTTGCTTCCGTTTCCATAATTCCAGGAACATGGTAGCTGGAAAATAAAAGAAAAGAAAACGTAACCATATCGAAGAGGAGGGTAGAAATAGCCTAAGCTACTCTATCCCTTTGAGATGTATTTTATTGTCTCAGTAAACGTACTTGAACTTGTTCTTGAACCATATCAGAAACTTTATTCAACATGGTTGTACATTTATAAATAGGAAAACGTACATACAAATTAGACTGCATTAATTTCACAAGAATGTCGCAATAAGAGCACAAGAGGACGTAGACTATTGTGCTAGTTTAGTTCATTTATTATGCACCCCATACCCATCTTGTGGGCGGTAGTGGAAAGGGTTACAGAGGCACATAATGGGCTCAGGGACTGAACTCCACAATTCATTTAGCTAAGCAAGTTACAATCTTGATGAGCTAGTTACAAAATTCAATATAAGTCATCACATCAACAATGGGTTCGAGATCGACCTCAAGTAGCTACAAGATGAAGATGACATTTCTACAATTAAAGCCTTTTCTCACACCAGTGCTTCTCTGTCTCACTTCTCAGTTCTTGGTGTTCTCTTAGGTAATAATCTACATTGTATAACTAACATGAAAGAACAAATGAGATAGCAAGGATGGGAGGGATAGTTCTATATTGGTATTGTTAAGTCAGGTCATGTCAAGATTGATGAATTTTAGATATTCAAGATATGCATGCTGATGAATAGACTATAAATCTTCAATCATTCTAAAAATGATATTAAGTACTCGGGGAGACGTTTTCATTGATATATATCACGTTACTGTGATTATTATTATTATTATTATTAGTATATTCAAATTTAACACACCGTAGATATTTAGAAATAAGATGCTCATATTTCTGATTAGTAGGTTACGTATCTTAAGCAATTTTAAGCTCCTATGCATGTTTAACGGATCATATAGCTTATGCAATTATAAGATTGTACTCCACGAAGAATTCGACAAAATTAATTTGTGTATAAAAGTTAAATGAAACACCTAAGACCGTCCGTAGTTATGGGTATCTATGAACTTCTCCTTAAAACGACAATTCGATACAAAAGTAAAAACTCTCAAGACAATCACAAGGACACGAGTATCCAGGAACCGGGAGCCATTCCTTCACCCCCGTCCCATCCCAAATCCTTATCCTGACCCTTTCCAAATGCTACATAGTCGTAATGGCTTATGCTTTCTCATAACTCCAAGCCTGCTCCAGGAGCCAGCTTACCCCAAAAGGACATGGCTATAGAGAAGAAGACTGTGATGGGGTTGTCGAAGAGGAAGGTGATCCGGGAGTTGAGGCAGGAGTCCCCAAGCTGCCAAAAATCACACAGCTTGTCACAGAGCGGACACATTATGAGGGACCCGGTCTTGTTGGCCTGGCGATTACATATCTCCTCACTGTGGGGAGATATACAAATGTAATGGTTAAAGTATTATTATGTAAGAGGTGATTTATGCAGTACAGGTAGATAGTATATAGATTATGGTGCAGGTAGAGAGTATATAGAATTTGGCACAAGTAATTAGGCTATTAAATTACAAATGCAGCCAAACTGGCAAGTCTATGGTATGCTTTGTAGCTCAAATATATGAAAATGATAGACTGAAGAATGGTCACAATCGACTTGAGAATGGTCCAGGACGGACCGAAACGTCGTCGTCCCTTCACCTTCTAGTGTGTGGTCTGGTCAACATAATTTAGCCACGTTATTGTGACTCATCGCCTGCACATGATAAACTGAATTAAAGTAATTACACTTTGAGAGAACCAGTGTTGTGTCCTGTCTCATGTCTTTGTGGCATTAATGGTGCAGTTAACGTTAGGTGTGGCCAGTAACTGGATGGGGTGACAACACCCAGCCTGTTCCGTCCCAGGCTGGGTGACCTTGATAAACCAAAATCCTCGACAATAATAGACTAAACACCGAAAAATGAATATTATTTACAAATAGAATTTAAAAAATCAAAACCCCTTCCCCTTAGATTTCACTCAAAAGAAATACTAAATATTTAATTAAAATTTAGTAAATAATAAGTATATGTAATAGTTCAATGGCTTAATCTCACGAGAAAAAGATTCAAATATAACCTAATGCACAGTAAAACAGACTGCAGGTGCTGTTGCAACTTGAGACACGCTGACCTGGGTTTGTTGAAGTCCGAGAACATGAAGAAGATGCCGCAAGTGAAGGTGATGACCCCCAGGATGGAGGCTGGTACCAACATCTCCGTGTAGAACCCCAGCCAAGCGAAGTATAGAGCCATCTTATCCCCGAAGTACCGACGAACGACATGCAGCGGCTGCTTCTTGTACCACTTGCCAAACCGCGCCCACTCAAGGTACAGCAGCTGAGGGCCACCGATAGTTATCGTAAAATTAAAGTTCATTTAAATTTAAAAGTGCTGTAAAGCTCCATTGTAGCTTATGTAGAAGCCTAACAATCTTTCTAACTGCAAACGAGGCGTCACAATAACGTGGCTGAAATATGTCGACGAAACCACACACTAGAAAGAGAAGGGACAACGACGTTTTGGTCCGTCCTGGATCATTCTAATGTCGATTGTGAGAATGGTCCAGGAGGGACCAAAACGTCGTCGTCCCTTCACTTTCTAGTGTGTGGTTTGGTCAACAACCTACCTAACCAGTATTTAAAGCTGTTTAAATATATATAATTTAATTATACATATTACCAGTAGTAATATGTACAATTAAGAATAATCCCACTCTTGTTTCACAAATTTTTATATTTCTTTTAACATGATAAAAATTTTAAATTTCATGACAATTTAATAACCATTCCTAGACTAATTATAAAACTGTTAAAATAAATATAAAAATCGGTGAAAAAAGATTGGAATTATTCTCGAGATATTGCAACATTTTGGTAGAAAAAAATATTATGTACAAATTGATAGTCTCGAGAAAAAAGGCATCTCACTTCGATGTCTGTACAAGACATCGAAGTGGACACGTAACACGCATGACCGACCAAAACATCGAAGTGGACACGTAACACGCATGACCGACCAAAACATCGAAGTGGACACGTAACTCGCATGACCGACCAAAACATCGAAGTGGACACGTAACTCGCATGATCAACCAAAACATCGAAGTGGACACGTAACACGCATGACCGACCAAAACATCGAAGTGGACACGTAACACGCATGACCGACCAAAACATCGAAGTGGACACGTAACACGCATGACCGACCAAAACATCGAAGTGGACACGTAACACGCATGACCGACCAAAACATCGAAGTGGACACGTAACTCGCATGACCGACCAAAACATCGAAGTGGACACGTAACTCGCATGATCAACCAAAACATCGAAGTGGACACGTAACACGCATGACCGACCAAAACATCGAAGTGGACACGTAACACGCATGACCGACCAAAACATCGAAGTGGACACGTAACACGCATGACCGACCAAAACATCGAAGTGGACACGTAACACGCATGACCGACCAAAACATCGAAGTGGACACGTAACTCGCATGACCGACCAAAACATCGAAGTGGACACGTAACTCGCATGATCAACCAAAACATCGAAGTGGACACGTAACACGCATGACCGACCAAAACATCGAAGTGGACACGTAACTCGCATGACCGACCAAAACATCGAAGTGGACACGTAACTCGCATGATCAACCAAAACATCGAAGTGGACACGTAACACGCATGACCGACCAAAACATCGAAGTGGACACGTAACACGCATGACCGACCAAAACATCGAAGTGGACACGTAACACGCATGACCGACCAAAACATCGAAGTGGACACGTAACACGCATGACCGACCACAACATCGAAGTGGACACGTAACTCGCATGACCGACCAAAACATCGAAGTGGACACGTAACTCGCATGATCAACCAAAACATCGAAGTGGACACGTAACACGCATGACCGACCAAAACATCGAAGTGGACACGTAACACGCATGACCGACCAAAACATCGAAGTGGACACGTAACACGCATGACCGACCAAAACATCGAAGTGGACACGTAACACGCATGACCGACCAAAACATCGAAGTGGACACGTAACACGCATGACCGACCAAAACATCGAAGTGGACACGTAACTCGCATGATCAACCAAAACATCGAAGTTGGTCTTTAACTCTCATGCCCGTACTCCTTAACTCGCATGCCCGTACTCTGCAACAAATAAAGGGGAGACTCACCCGGCGGTCGCACATGGTGCCATCTGGGTTGTCCTTGTCGTAGCGGCCGTCGTGAAGGGGGAAGGCGGCGACGTAGGTGTTGCGGGACAGCAGTCTGGAGATGCCCACACCTGACGGAAGGCGTCCAACGTGGAGGTAACAGTCATACTTTTTACAAGAATCTGTATTAAACCTTAAAGCTGCTTTCCGTACCTTAATATATCGCATTACTGCCAAATATGAGGATATTTGCATTCTTGGAACGGATACGAGTTATTAATTATAGTAAAATGTAACTATTATGAGAAAATAGCCCACAAAATATGTATATATAATATTATATAATTAGGTATATATATATATATATATATATATATATATATATATATATATATATATATATATATATATATATATATATATATATATATATATATATATATAAATGATTTTTTACAACAATCTTTATTTTAAATTATTATTCAAATATTACTGTATAACTTGTATGACATTTAAATACACCGAAAAATCAGAGAGAATTTAGGTATAACCATAAATTTCAAAATGCTTAATAATATATATTTTACATTTATGTATATCTTTGTATATCTTTACAATAATAATAAAAGTTAACATTAAACTAAATTACGAATTCAGTCTCTCACGAGTAACTCTGACCAAGCACGAAGTGACCAACCTACACTACCATAAGAAATCTTAAACATCTAAAATGATCGATATAAAAAGTGATCTTAGTGAAGATATATGACTGTATATACAGAATGCCAGTGTGATCACGTCACATGCAACTCTTCTCACAGATTTGATTTAATATTTCATCAACCAAACGACTGTATGAGAGAGAAAATATACAGTTATTCACATCCCATGCAGTTATTGAGATATTTTGTCTCGTGAATTCTATATAAAACAGCAATATGGACAATATATATATATATATATATATATATATATATATATATATATATATATATATATATATATATATATATATATATATATGTGAGCATTCATATCACATGCAAGTCAAAATATAAAATCATTCTTTTATAAAGATGCATTAATTGAGAATGCAATTTAGGTGTACCATTTAAAACATATCAACAGGAAAACTCTCATAAATGAGGCAAATATATCAATATTTTGCTCCTGTTATTTCGGATCCAATTATTAAAATGCGTCACCGATGCATCTATGTAATGTATGGGTTTTGATGACTGCATTTGTACATATTGCGATTCATGGATATTTTTTATTGGCCTTTTCCAAGTTCTGAACATTTTGGCCTATGAAGTGGCTGTTCTACATTACCAGCATAAATTCTAGTTTGGTCTATGACCCTTCAGAGGATTCGAACCCAGGTCGTCTCTCCACCAACAGCACCGGTACCATGATCACTGTGCCAGCGATCGTCTATAAGTGTCGCTTGGTCTTGAAACTTGTACAGACAAGTTTCACGAACAAACAACACCAGATGTCATAGAGTTAATACTAATAATTAATGTAATTTATAAGAATGTGTACACATAGAACATATGAGGAAGGGACAGTTGTAAGGACAAGAATTTCACATACAAATGGAGCCGCAAATATGCAAAGCGTTTCTGGCCAAACCTAGAATAATTCTGATAAAAGAATTACTTAAAGGTATAAAGGGGGTAAATATTTAATACTAAAAGAGAAGTAAATTAACGTAGTCGAGAACGACCAAGAAACATTCATAATTATATCATAACAAAATATATATACACTATAGAGGTGATAATGAGGACATGCATTGATTAATACATTATAGACTCTGTAATTCTTGCTCCAGTACAGTATTTTTTTAACATTAATAACAATAGGAAATTACAAAGGTTGAAATACAAATGCATTATGCCACAGGAAGCACATTAAACAACAGTGACATGACAATGTTGAAGACAAAATGGCATGACTAAAGTACTGTTGAATAATTTAGAGTTGTGGAGCTTTCGCAGCCTAATTAATAAGTGAACTCTCAGTTACTCTTGACATGAGCAGGGCTTATTATTATAACAAATTTTGTTATCATTTATCTGTCAGTTAATGTCACTTTCAAGGTTTTATTAAAAAAATAAGTACCTATTAATTTTAAGAAGTCTTCAAAAACATAAGTCTTTTTAATCATAAGTAATTTGCTTAGGAGAATTATTATTTTTTTATCGGAGTGTATTTCCTTTATGTATACTTCAACACAACCGCTCATGAAGTGATGACATACTCAGTATGCTTATTTTTAAAATTTACACCAGTATGTGCAAGAAATTATTATGTCGCATATTTGTCGAATATTCTATAATTTCTTATAAATGGAATATGTCAGGTAATGTGGTTTAGGAAAAATCGAAAACCCACAAACTGAAAAATTTGTTTTTGTTCGTTCTTCGTTTAGTGAAGTGGTTAAAAACGTTAGTTACTTTCAGTAAAGTTACTTTCTGTTAAAATAGTTATTTTTAGCTATACTAAAGTTACTTTCATTAGAAAAAACTCGCTCAATTTAAAATGTCACTTTCAGCTAAGAAAGTTATTTTTTAAGTTACTTTCAATAAAAAAGTACTTTAAATAAAAAAATCATTGCTAGTTAAGCTAGTTACTTAGGTAAAGCAATATAATCAGGAAAGTTGCCAGTACTTTCGAAATTACGTACGAATATAGATCCTGTAGCACAGTGGTCTACATCCTTGACTTACAATCGAGGAACCCGGGTTTAGTTCCCGGACAGAGCGAAAATTATTGGGCAGGTTCCTACCGCCTAACGCCTCTGTTCACCTAGCAGTAAAATAGGTACCCTGGAGTTAGAAAACTATTGTGGGTAGCACCCTCTAGAGGGTCAGCAGCAGTTGGATATAGTGGTTACCTGGTTGATACCTGGTTGATGGGGTTCTGGGAGTTCGTCTACTCCCCAAGCCCGGCCCGAGGCCAGGCTCGACTTGTGAGAGTTTGGTCCACCAGGCTGTTGCTTGGAGCGGCCCGCAGGCCCACATACCCACCACAGCCCGGTTGGTCCGGCACTCCTTGGAGGAATAAATCTAGTTTCCTCTTGAAAATGTCCACGGTTGTTCCGGCAATATTTCTTATGCTTGCTGGGAGGACGTTGAACAACCGCGGACCTCTGATCCGCGGGGCTCAATAAGCCCTGAGTGGGGGCTCAATAAGCCCTGAGTGGGGGCTCAATAAGCCTCGCTACAGGCTTGCTGTCCCGCAACAATGGGAATTATACTCATTATTGTTATTTTTCGATAAATCCAAATTCAAGCTGAATGGCGTCATCAACATATATTAATCACATCAACATATACTCAATCACTCTAATCCCAGCAAAACTTTACCTCTATTAAACTTGACTAAACATTTCATTAATTTTAGGTAAACTGACCTTGTTAATTTTAGGTATACTAACCTTATTATTTTTGAGTAAACTAAGGTTATTCATATAAAATTGACTTTAATAAAGTTAGCCAAACAAGATGAATCATGAATCACGTAAATGCAATTTAAAGTTTTCCTGCAATTAGGGGAACTGATACGAATGTTGATACACAAAACAATATGCTTGTCTTATATATATATATATATATATATATATATATATATATATATATATATATATATATATATATATATATTATAAATTGCAGTATACTACAGCATATTTACTGCAGTATACTGTATGCTCAGTTAAATACTGAAGATTTACAATAATATATTGTAAGATCAGTGAAGGAATATAACTCTTGCAGCAATATAATGTAAGATTAGTGTAAGATTTCAAACATCATGCACATATCAGAAAAAAAATTGCATTACACAGGACTAAAAAAATGCCTGAGAATTCCAGAAAAGCCATAGAGAGACTCCAGAGCTAATTGATAAGAAAAACAAATTTGATATGTGTTCACAATTTCACATTATCAACATTAAATACCTTTTGGACACTGAGATACTGAAGTTAATACACTGAATGATACTGAAATTATTTTTAGATATAAATTTAGCTCTGAAATGGTTTCATGACAGACTGAACTTTGAGGTAAAAAGTGACAGGTATATGTCAGGTTAACGATCCAACCATTCCTCTCTCAACCATTATGTGGTTACGGTACTTTACTGTTACCAACGTACCAAATGCAACGTGCTATAAAGTAGCGGCTCACAAAAAGACGCGCTTTCTGTGCACTGATTGGTTACATTAAGTAGGTTGATTGGGTTGTGGCAAATCAAGAGGTCGAACAATCAGAGAGACTTAAAACAAAAAGTGTAATTATAAAGTAACATTCAGAGAGAGACATAAGAAAGTGTCGGTGTTAAGTAACATAGCAAGAAGATTCAAGAAACGTTCATAAGTGTATTTTATAAACGCAAAACATGCAGGTCTCAATACCTACTCCGTCGCCTGATAATATCTGCAACAAACACAATGGCAGAGTTAATGTTTCATATTGTCACTCCTTGAAAACCTTAGATTATGTCAATGTTTGGGAGAAACGTTTGCACCGTTCAGGAATGCGAGAGTCATATAAAATTGACTCACGTGTCAAATAGGGTCATTTCTAATAAGGAAATTTCAAATAGATTCATGCCAAGTAAGTCCGTGTCAAATAGTCATGTCAAACAGGGATCTTAATTAATATATAGTTTCAATTCTAAAATGATACATTAAAATTATATAATATAGTTTACCTATACAATTTTGCCGTCAAACTATTATACTATACTATACCACCTTAAAAAACTGACAAAGATAGTGGGATATGTAGGAATATATTATGTGTACATATATATATAATATATAAATATATATATAAAATATATATATATATATATATATATATATATATATATATATATATATATATATATATATATATATATAATATATAAATATATATATAAATATGCACACACTGAGAAGTGTGTTCAATTTATAAGTGAACATTCATCGAGAGTTTACGTTAAATGGTTGTTTTGTTTGGACTATGTTTAGGGGAGAAAATATTCCCTCTGGCTGGTCAGTAATGTTGTGTGGTGGCAGAGGTTGGTAACTCATCAGTTTAACACAAAACTAAACATTTGAAACTAACCCAACTATAAAAGGTATAAACATTTATGAATAAAACATTTTAATTTCAATTATTTCACATTTCTCAACATGTCCTTGTCAAGTTGTGAGAAACGCAAGATCAGTGTGAATAAATAGTACCTGGAAGGGATATGAGACAAACTAACAGGAGAAGGAACAATTCACTTGGATCATGGCGGATCGAACGCTGTTCCTGTAAGAGGCCGGGACATCGCTCTACCGACCAGTGGACGGACATTTTCCTACGTGCATATTCACACACACAACAGCACACATCATTAACTTGTTATGGGATTTACGTGAGGAAAAAGTAGGTGCCAACAAATCAGGAAATTGATAATAGCAAGCTTAACTAATCCTCGGTCATCTGATAAGGTTATAAATACATGGATTATGAAGTAGCAATTTGTGGAGATAACATCGTTACTGATTTGATAACACGTGATTAGTGGCATGCAACGTTCATTTATTGCCAGTGATCTCTTATCATTCAGATCAACATTCTAATTCATATTTGTTGATCAATATGAAATATTTGCACATAATTTGTTCTAAATCATCTCTTATCTCTCATATTGAATTGGATGTTGAGAATTTGAAAATTATTCCTGTTATTATCAATATTTTTCTTGTGCAGCATAGGCTGAGCAAAAGGCACAGGAACCTAATGGTTATATTCTGAGGACAAGGAAGATAAGTAGGCCTATATAGCATAGCAATAACACAATGAAAAACCTCACTCGTGATAATGTTATTTCCCTCAACCTTTGGTCTTAAGATGTCTTAAGATGTAACACGTGATGAAATTTCCATCATTCCTGTATTTCCATTCATTCCGTTCTAAAGATGTATTAATATACGAAAGTATTTAAGGAATCATACCCAGCTACTCACCTTGTTCAGAATCATTGTACCGGACTCTCAACAGGATCTCCCAGACTATCTCACTCCTCTGGGAGGGGGTGAAGAAAGACTCCCGGTCCTTGATAATAAACCTGTGGAGTACAGGTCCTGAACATTATACACACACACAAGCAACTGTTGATTGACAGTTGAGAGGCGGGACCAAAGAGCCAGAGCTCAACCCCAGCAAGCACAACTAGGTAAGTACACACATACACACACATCATTACACAGTGTGTGTGTGTGTGTGTAAGTCCGTAGTGTGGTTTATTGTGGGTGTAGTGTATTGGTAGTGTGGTGTAACTATATTGTAGTGGTAGTTTGGTACACTGGCAGCGTATTGTAATGTATAGGTATTGTATTGTGGTAGCACTGTGGTGTACTAATAATACACTGTGGTAGTAGTGTGTACTGGTCGTGTACTGTGGTCGGGGTGTATATATACACAAGAAATACAGTTCTCAATACTTACAATGATATTCCTGACACAAGCTACGTCATACATTCAATCGATTGTATAATACATTCCACTGACTCCGCGTATTGTAAATAATTAACCAGCATCGACTGCGAGAATACAGCAGCTGCCGATGTATTCGTGCAGTCAACTCATCGTATGGATACAGTATACATCTCGTAGCGATCAGAACAGGTTGTCTGTCAGTATTCACAGAGCCCCTAAGTGTGCGAAATATGGGTACCTCATATCTCGAGGGTCTTACGTGTCCACTTACGAGATATGGGATACCTCTTACGTGTCCACTTACGAGATATGGGGTACCGCTTACGTGTCCACTTACGAGATATTAATACTTCTTATCTCTATCATGGCGCCTCAGACAGTATTTACTAAACAGCTTACGAGCTCCATAGTGCTAGGTTAACAGTGTTATGGACCACTTCGTAGCACTCTGCAGCTCGTAAACTGGTAAGTAAATCTACGTCTATAAGAATATTTGTCTACTCGAGGGTGGAGGTCAGACGCTTGCGGCTAGGTTCATTAAACTTTGCAGGATTACTATTGAGGTCGTTGGGAGTGTCATAAGGCGGTTGGGGGGCAATCCAGCGCCCGTAGGAAGAGGGTCACGGCCCCAATGACCCTTTTTTTCACGAAGTCTGTGAATGTGAAATGTTCAGCTCCGAGTCCATAGAGTTTAGAGTTTAAATAGTGAATTCAGATTTTGAATTCAAAACATGTTCGGATGGCAGATTTGCTCTGGGCGGAACCTTTTGGTTATATTGACGGAGGAAGGGAGTGTGCAGACAAGGAGAGAAGAGACGGAGGAAGTGCGTGTGTGGACAGGAAGGGAGGAGATGGGGAGTGTATGCGGAATGGGGTATGGAAAAGGTTTGTGGGAGTGTGTAGGGATGGTGTGGAGGGGTGAATGAGAGGGTGTGTAGGTGGGAGATGGTGAGGGAGTGTGGTCGGGGAATGGTGAGAAGATGTTGACAGTGATGAAGAACGTGAGTATTAAAGAGTGTGACAGTGATGTGGGGTCACAGAACAGTTACAGCCCCACTCTTGTGCCAGGTAAGTCCACTACGGGATCACCATAGCCCGTGCTACTCGGAAATTTGTTCCCAGTAGCTGAATCTTAAACAACAACATGTGGGGAGGGGTGCGTGTGTAGAGAGACACGGAGGGTGTGTTCATAGGATGGAGACCTGGGCACCATATCTCCTCGGTCTCCACCGGGTTCCCATTTCCGTACCAAATAAGCCGTCACGAGCGAGGAAAGATGTACAGGTTTCGTAAATGAATACGTAAATGGTTGATGATTCCTGTACCTGCCTACCAATCTGGTGTAGCGGTGGCTGGACACGTCCATCCACCGTTGGACTTGTCCACAGGACATATAGTATCTAATCTAATTAGATACATTAGATAAAACATACGATACAAATATCAATTCCAATAAAATATATATTTTTAACCCTAGCTAAAAATCAACATATAAAGGTCTATTTCTTTTAAAATTAAAGAATGATTTTCTACCGTCATTTACCTAAATAAAATTTGTTTTAAAAAATCTATGAACTAGATAAAAAGAGGTTATCACATATCATAAATATACATCACTTTATAACTTAAATCTTAATTCTTATGAAAGTAACAGAACAAAATATCAATTAAAATGATGAAACCAAAAATTGTTCTCTATGTTAGCGTGACAGAACTAAGAATACACTTGATAAGCGCTGTTCAGCGAGCTGTAATTTACAAAAGCTTGCACTTATAAATTAATGTTAAAGTGTTGCTATTATACACCCCATTGCCTGTGTCCTAGTGGCCTCCCCACTACCTGTGCTCTCATGTTTACACAGTGACGTCACCAGGACAAAAAAAATGCATTACGTAAAGCGCCAAAGATGGCGTCCGAATAGCATATTCCCGAACGGCGGTCACGATACACCTGAATTATTCGAACACGAATTATCCGAACATGCGTTCCAGCTCTACTGAATATGCAAACAATCATATTTCTTGATGGACACGGTTGCTATTATGAATGATATGATTTATGTACACTCACAAACATACCAGTGCGATGGTTGGTGATGGTGTGGCATACTTAATATCAAAACTCTTGATTGCATTGTTGTATTATACAGGAGATAGAGTAATAAATTATCATATATTATGTATTTACACGTGATGGGTTGGCTTATGTACAGTAGGCGGAGAAAATGTTTCAAGGACTGATATGTACATTGTGTGGAGGGTGAGATATGCGGATAGTGTTATTGTGTGTGAAAGTGTTAGAGGAGTTAACGTGCGAGAGAGTTAGAGAGAGAGAGACAGAGATACAAGGAGAGAGAGAGAGAGAGAGAGAGAGAGAGAGAGAGAGAGAGAGAGAGAGAGAGAGAGAGAGAGAGAGAATCAGACAGAGAGGGCGAATAGTAAGTTTATCGAAAATGTGAATTGAAGCAGAAAGTACATAGAAGTGTAAAAGTTATGGAAGCTGAGTACAGCTCCTTCCCCCGACAAAATACATTATGGGAGAAGGTTTTATAGTAATCGCCGTAGATGACGTACATAGAGAAGCCGGAACGAGAAAATGAAGAAAACTGTGGTGAAAAGGAAGAAGAAAATTAAATAAAGATAAAACGAGACAAAAAGTGAAAAATGAACCCTTTGAGACAGCATTATAATTACACCCATTAAAAATCAAAGTCACTCAACACAAATATTCCTGAAGATTTAAGTGTGCTGTTGCCCAGTGATATAATGGACGTAACCTCAAGGCCATGGACGTATTTTTCGGCTGAGAAATGTATGCATAAAGGCGTTGACCAGACCACACACTAGAAGGTGAAGAGACGACGACGTTTCGGTCCGTCCTGGACCATTCTCAAGTCGATACATTCTCAAGTATCGACTTGAGAATGGTCCAGGACGGACCGAAACGTCGTCGTCCCTTCAGCTTCTAGTGTGTGGTCTGGTCAACATACTTTAGCCACGTTATTGTGACTCATCGCCTGCATATGCATAAAGGCCTTTAAAAGGGCTCTAGGTGAGAGTAAGGAATCTGAGAGAAGGCAAGAGGTGTGTGGGTTGGGCATGTGAGAGACACCAGGTGTGGGAATGGTATGCTGAATGCGACAGATGTGGACATGATATATATAGGAGGCGCCAGGTGTAAGGAGGCAATATGGGATGCGAGAACTTTAGCAAACATATATACTTGCCAATCGGGCTCTCTCCCTGTCCGACCTCTGTGTTAAATAACAGAAGAACACAATGAAATATATAAATAATCATCAAATGTTATTCTTTTCCACTTACATAATAGCTTAACCATTAGGGAACTTACTAACGGTGGTCTTTCAAGGAACAAAGACAAATTTAAGATTGGAAATAAAATCAAAATACTTACCTAAAAAAATCCACATTTTAAATTCTTAGTGCACAGCTTTACTATCCTAATGTGACATATTTCTTTCTCGTCATAACCAAATTTAGCAAAATATTTTAATATTTAAAGAAAAGCCCCATCTGCCCTTCGTCGTAATGCACAAGATTCTATGCTAAAAAACTAGCTCTGTATTATACCCAGTTGGCTGACAAGCAAATAACATAATTTGATAATACTGATTGATTATACTGGAGTTACTTATCTAGGTCATCTTGATACTCGGGGCTGAAGGCCAGGTAGCATGGAGTCGTCGTTTGGTACAAGGCCTCGACCTAGGGCCAAGATTCATCAAGCATTTACGCAATTATATACGAAGCCTGTACATCTTTCTTTAATAGTCGTGGCTTTGTTTGCATTTATTAAGCAGTTGATGAGGTTCAAAACCTCACAACTCAAGGTTGTTATTGTTATAAAGAACTTCGTAGTGCTTCGGAGCTCATAAATTGTTTAATTAATGTAAAAAAAATCAGGCATGATTGAGGAAAGATGAACAGGTTTCGTAAATGACTGCGTAAGTGTTTGGTGAATGCCAGCCATAGACGCTACCTTCAATGATGCGTGAAACCTCGCTGGAACACTGCTTCAAGATGTTTATAGAATCTTGACGAAGCTGAGGTCCTTAAAAATGTGATCTTCAAGCTACCTACATTCTGGCAACCTCTCCTCTCCCCCTTCAACATGTTATTCCTGCATGCGTCCTCACCCTGACTGCCCTCACCATGAATGTCCTCACCCTGAATGTCCTCACCATGAATGTCCTCACCCTGAATGTCCTCACCCTGAATGCCCTCACCCTGAATGTCCTCACCCTGCATACCTATGCTTAATCCCCACTCCCTCTCCTACCCCACAACTCTTCAAACAAGCTGATTAATCATCAGCTCATCACTTGGGCAAGTATGATAAGACCTCTAGCGGCTCTCAAGAGCTTCACCTAGTCGTTACACTATACGCATCATACTCATACGTTAGAATAACGCGTGAACTTTATAAAACAACAACGAAAATCAAAGACACGGGGGGAAATGACGTATTTATAGACTACAAGTGCATCTGAACCGTACGTTTAAGAGACTGTGTAGGTTCGTAGACTCTTTAGTGAGCTTGAAGTGTATACACTGTGACACCGGGTTGTACAGATACTCGCACTTATACAGCTCCGATTTTTGTTTACTTCTCTAAAAGATGTTTCAAGTAGCAGAAGTGGACATTTTTGCCCATTTGTCAACCCAAAATATACGCTAACGTGTATTTAACATACACCCCCAAAGGTACAATTTAGAGACTAACAAAATAAGAAAAGATCACCGAGAACAATAGTTGCCCGCGCGCCAGACGATAGTTAATACAACTTCGACTCAATACGATACTCTATAAACATAGATTACACAACCTGTCCTCACACTTAATAATCTCGATAGGTTAGACGGGTTGGTTAGTTTCGAACGCTTCTGGTTAGGCAAAATCGCTTCAAATTTGGCGCTTATGGCGATCCCAAAAGCGCACTGCACCAAAACCGTCGTCATCCCATAATGCAAGAGTAAAGGGGCGGTGATACGGAACCCTGATATAAGCTTACAGTGTTGACACGCCATCTGTGGGGGGTCTGGCTAGGCAAATACGCCATTTGTGGAGTCTGGGTAGGCAAACACGCCATTTGTGGGGTCTGGCTAGGCAAACACGCCATTTGTGGGGTCTGGGTAGGCAAACACGCCATCTGTGTGGGTCTGACTAGGCAAATACGCCATCTGTGTGGGTCTGGGTAGGCAAACACACCATCTGTGGGGTGTGGCTAGGCAAACACGCTATCTTTGAGGGCCTGGCTGAGAAAGGAACACCAGCTGAGGCCTCTGGCAGATACACACACCACCTGTGGGATCTGTGGCACACATAATAACGCACGGATAAGCAATCCAATAAACGCCGTACATCACTCCGCATAATACAACTTCACGGTTTAAATCACTTAATCAATAGCAGAAGCATTTCGTTTCGTCAATTACCTAAAAAAAAATTCGTCCCTTAGAGCAGCCTATCCATCAGCAAGATGGACTATTTCGAGAATTTTGAGACGAAATTTGTTGTTTTGGTTTTCTAGTAGAAAACTATCGAGTGACTGGTAAATAATTCAGTATTAGAGACCACCATTTCCCCTCTGGCTTAGTACACAGCATAATTTGATCTTCGGGTAGAGCATTTGTCAACGACTCGACGAGCAATTCAAAGGCGTTGATGGATATGTTTGGCAAATGAAGAATTCATGATAAATGGCCAGGGAATTGTTGCACGAAGGTCAGGCTTGGTGTCTCGAGAGGCTCGGCCTTGTGCAACAGTAGAGCTAAAAGGTTATTTTCATGTTGTTACGAAGTTGTTATGTTGTGTGTGTTTGAGGGATGTGTGCAACACAAGAACAACACTCCCCAAACAATACCAACACTCTTATAACAATAACTCCACCCTCCAAACAATACCTACACCCTTCATTCAACCTTCACAAGCTCCACTCTTCATATAATATCTACACTCTGCAAACACCTAAACTCTCCATACAACACCTCCACTCTCCACCCAACACCTCCACTCTCCACCCACACCTCCACTCTCCACCCAACACCTCCACTCTCCACCCACACCTTCACTCACCACCCAACACCTCTCTAAACAACAACAGGCTAGACATCACCAACACTCCCCCAAACAACGGCAGCAAAGGTCCTCAGAGCACAGCTCCTACATCTCGAGCAGTTCTCTACTAATCTAAATTCTTGTATACCTTCAGAAAGTCGTTGGACGGATCGGTTCACCCAACCTTGCCTCTTAACTTGAGTCATTAGCCTCCCGCTGCCAAGTTGCTGAACTTCCCCAACTATTATCCCAACTTCCATGCCCCCCCCTCCCTGCACCCTGGACCTTGCGAGGGATTTACAACCCCCGGATGACCAACAATCACGTAATACTGTGGCTTCAGATTCTTTTAGTCACTGCGTCTGTATCGTAGCCGGGAACTGAACACTTTATTGCCTTATATTCATATTTTACACTCTACGCTCCTCCTGTAATATTTCTCTGTCTTCCTGCAATACAGAGAGAGAGAGAGAGAGAGATCGTTGTCTCTTCGTACAGAGATCTCTCTGTGTACGACAGAGAGAGAGAGAGAGAGCGCTATCATGGAAGGCAGTGTGTGGATCTTAGACTTATATTCTCCTAAACTTAAGAAAAGTAAATACCTTTCCAGTGGTGTTTTAATTAATTCGTAGTAAAAAAAAAAATCCCAATTGCATAATTGTTTAATAGCAGTGAGGAATTAAGGTTTAAATTCATTACTGAATAAATGTATACAAAAGAGCGTTGATAAAAGCTGATACGCTTACCCAAGACAATTATTCTAATGTGTTTTATGAAGTGTTATATTTTTCAAGCAGCAATTATTCTGATGATGATTTGAGGCACTTAATCATTTAATAATAATTGGAATACCAATTATTCCCCATGTCGAGTTAATATGTGGGCCGAATGTATGGATGCATATTATATATATATATGTATGTATGTATATATATGTCGTACCTAGTAGCCAGAACGCACTTCTCAGCCTACTATGCAAGGCCCGATTTGCCTAATAAGCCAAGTTTTCCTGAATTAATATATTTTCTCAATTTTTTTTCTTATGAAATGATAAGGCTACCCATTTCATTATGTATGAGGTCAATTTTGTGTTATTGTAGTTAAAATTAACGTAGATATATGACCGAACCTAACCAACCCTACCTAACCTAACCTAACCTATCCTATCTTTATAGGTTAGGTTGGGTTATGTAGCCGAAAAAGGTAGGTTAGGTTAGGTAGGTAGGTTAGGTAATCGAAAAAACATTAATTCATAAAAACTTGGCTTATTAGGCAAATCGGGCCTTGCATAGTAGGCTGAGAAGTGCGTTCTGGCTACTAGGTACGACATATATATATATAATATATATATGTTACATTGCCTCGATTTTTTGGTTATTTTATTTAATTATTTGTTCAGGTCGTAGCGTTTTGTTAATCATCTCTACATTAATTGTTAACCTCTCCACCAATCATTCATCTCTCTCTCCCCCAATCATTCATCTGTCTCTCCCCCAATCATTCATCTGTCTCTCCCCCAATCATTCATCTCTCTCTCCACCAATCATTCATCTCCACACCAATCATTCATCTCTCTCTCCACCAATCATTCATCTCTCCACCAATCATTCATCTCTCTCTCTCCACCAATCATTCATCTTCACCTAAGAGTTCGTTCGTCTCCATGCAACAATGGCACACCTTCATTCTACATCACTACGGCACATTTTCCACTGAATATTTCAGGAAAGTCGACCGTGTCTGTGTACGAGGGGAGAATGGAGAATTCTGTTGTTATCCCTGTATATTGGCGGTTATCCATGGATATCCGCGGGTATCCATGGATATCCGCTGTTATTTGTGAATATTCGCAGGTATTTATGGATATTCGCGGGTATTTATGAATATCCTCGGTATATCTATGTGTATTCAAGAGTATCCATGTGTATTCGCAGATATCCGTGGATACCTGCAAATATACCGGTGGGGTCAATCGTAAGTATCTGTGGATATCCGCGCGAAGCCATGTGAATCCGTGGGTATCCATTTATATCCACAGGTATCCTTATATATATATTCACAGGTATCTATGTATAACTGCAGATATCAGTGGATATTGGCTGGGATGTATGTGTGTTCGAGGGTAACTATGTGTATCCGCAGAGATACAGGTATATCTATGGATATTCATGTATATCCGCGAGTATCCAAGGATATCCGCAGGTACACCAAAAAGGATCAGAAAACGGTAGGTGTGAGGGAGATGGGGGATGTTAGGGAGGACAGAAATGTTTAGGGGAAGAGGAAAGATGTGAAGAAAGGCGGAAAGGGAGTATGTAATAAGGGAAAGGAAAGGAAGGGAGGCAAAGGAAGGGAAGGGAAGGGAAGGGAAGGGAAGGGAAGGGAAGGGAAGGGCAGGGCAGGGAAGGGAAGGGAAGGGAAGGGAAGGGAAGGCGTGTCTGGTGAGGACGGGTCACCTCCGCCGGTGAATAAGTTATATGGTAATAAAAGCAGCATAATGTCGAAGGTTACGTGAACATTCCTACACACGCACACGAACGCACACGCGCACACACACACAGATCCTCGCAGCTGAGTGGCCAGCGCTCAGGAGTCATAAGGGCCCCTGGTTCGATTCTCGGTTGATGGCAGAGTTTTCTTTCCTCCCGATGCTTCTTTTCAGCGAGCAGTAAATAGGTACCTGGGAGTTAGACAGCTGCTCCGGACTGCATCCTGGGGATGTGTGTGTGTGTGTGTGTGTGTGTGTGTGTGTTACAGAGAAATATATATATTTAGGACATCGCCACACATAATGAAATTATCCCAGACTATCACCTCACACTAGGACGAAACACCGAACGTGAACACAAGAGGCATAACTCTCATTTTTTATTGAATCATGGAATTATTCCCATAGTGCTTAAATACCTTCTTAAACTCCAAATCCGTCCCCCTTTCACCACACACATTAAACTGACGCTAACCAACAGCCTCACAGACGAGGAGTCACAATAAAGTGGCTGAAATTTGTTGACCAAACCACACACTAGAAAGTCACGATCGACTTGAGAATGGTCCAGGACGGACCAAAACGTCGTCGTCCCTTCACTTTCTAGTGTGTGGTCTGGTCAACCACATAGCTCCATGGAACACAACAACAGGGTCGAATACTTACTGGTCGACTCTGGATCTGGAGAACCCCGTCGAGAAGTACGTCGGCTCGTGTGGTATGAGGCGCTCGTCGTACTGAAAGGGATCTTTGATGCCCATCCAAGAAAAGAACCCCAAATTGGATTTATCCACATTATCCTTCTACAGGAGACCACCCCGCCGAAGGAGGAGAAGGAAGACCAATTCGACGCACCGCAAGGCCCACACACACACACACACAGAGGAGGCAGAAGGGGTGGATAGCAGTGAGGACCCAGCAGGAAGCAGACAACCACACGTTTAAGGCAGCAGGGAGCGATGCAGTAGATGGTGGTGGTGCGTCCATGGTCGATGGCAGCACAGGAGGAGTTGCAAGAGACATAAAGCATTAATAGACTGCATAAGGCAAGTCTCGTACATGTCGTAGCCAGTCTCGTACATGCCGAGTCAAATCTCATACACATCGAGGGGAAATTATGACGTGAGGAATTTAAGAAATGGACAGAAAACGAGGCAGAAGGCTTGGGTAGGAGGTATCGACAAGCCATTGCTTCTGTGGCCGAAGCTTATGACAGAATACGGAATAAGTTGTGTCGAGTACAATTAATGAAGTTATCATTAGCGTCAATGAAGTTAGCATCACTCAACGTGTCATCAATACAGGGCAATGGGATCATTAACAACAGACTATTAACACATGAAAAGTTATCATTTGCTAGACGGGACGAGGAGGTATATGTCTAGAAGATCCGGTTAGAAACATTCTCCAACACCGTAATACCATCAATTAATCCATTTCTTTAAGTTTTTAAATTATGTATTTACATCAAAAGTTTTTCCTTCAAAGCAATGTATTCCTGTTGGATTTATGGGCCATTATGTTCCAAAGATATTGACAGTTTTGTTTAAATATAGATGTTTAACAACAGTTTTAACAATACATAATGTATGGATTTATGAGCCAATGTGGTCCCGAAGTTTTGACAATGTATCATAATAAAATATTATTTTTATTTAACAAAGACCAGAGGTCACACGAGGTCACAAAAGGTCACAAAAGGTCACAAAAGGTCACAAAAGGGGCCCTATAAAAACCTCAAGCTTAAAATAATCCGCACAAGACAAAAATCCGAAGGTCAATTTTAATTCTGAATAAAAAAACATCCAAAAGAAATTATTAACACCAAATAAAACATCGAAAAATCATTATTAAATCTGAATAAAACATCCACAATTCATAATTAACAACCAATTAATCAAGAATATCCCACATACATGGACGCATGAAATGTACATATATTCCAAAAACACACACACAGACACATACATATAGATCATCAAAATCACATGCTGTCATGCGCAGGAGAAGAATACTCACCTTGACACATTTACTTACTCATCAACGCCTTCATTCACTTACTCATCAATGCCTTCAGCTCTCACCGGTCAATAAGACAATCAGGATAACACTGAAAAAAATAAGATTAAGCCTCCGGGGACGACACTATTTACACCCAGGGAGCAAAAACCTGCTTGAGTAATGCAGATCAACATTGGATCAACGTCGGATCAATTTAAGATCAACGTTGAGTTGATGAATCATTGTTACAGCAACATTGTAAGCCACGACAGGATGGTCTAAGCTAGACCGGAGTTTGTAAAAGATTTCACATCATTCTATGCAGGCGATTAGTCACAATAACGTGGCTAAAGTAAATTGACCAGACCACACACTAGAAGGTGAAGGGACGACGACGTTTCTGTCCGTCTTGGACCATTCTCAAGTCGATCGACTTGAGAATGGTCCAGGACGGACCGAAACGTCGTCGTCCCTTCACCTTCTAGTGTGTGTGGTCTGGCCAATTCACATCATTCTACCTACAAAAAATATAGCGTAAGAGAATTATTCCAGCGTAGATCTTCTACAACACACTACTACATAGAACTTCTACGACACTACATTGTAAAGCTTCTTTAACGCACTACAGCGCAGATCTACGACGCGCAACAGCGTACAGTTTCTACAACAAAATGATTGAGACATCAGAGGTACCAACAGTAGCTTGAATAAGTAATGGTAATGTCTTCTTACAGATATAACATCAACTTACATTTCAACGTCTAATCTTTATTAGATTAGACGTCGAGATGTAAATCTCGTCCTAATCACACACTCAGACCTTGACAAAGCACTCAGGAGAGTGCGAAAGACTTTGTGTAAATTCTTTACATGTTACTTTAGCTGTTACTTTCCCTTTATTTCTGTTGTTTTTCCGCGTACAGTACAAGGTAATCTTGAATGTAATCCTGAGCTCCGAGGTAATTTTCTTGCTACTTGCTAGTCTCAGCCTTATTGTAATCATTGTTGTCCTCGCTATTTGTGTATTTAAATATTACTAGCATTTTCGTCATTACTAGGAGCGCTTGTCCTTCTTGCTATGACGACTTGTGCAAATACCAACAGGCTCGTTGCTCCACTCATAGTCGTACAGTGAATCCATTTATTGACCAATATTGCGTGTATAAACTCAAATATCATCGTTTTTCGAACTCCCGAACTCACTCCCCCATAACAAGCTTATTAGAGGCGCTGCTTCAGGTATGTAATGACACGGAATGTTTACAGATTCGTGTGTTTGCCTGACTACGTGTATGTGTGTTTGCAGGTTCCATGTCTGTTTGTATGTCTGTATGTTTGTATTTGCATGTCTAAATGCATGTGTGTGTGTATTTTGGATACAATTATCTGAATATTTACTTCTGTCAGCCCATATACATGTGTTTTGCTTGTGTCAACAAACATATTTGAGTGGGATAGCTTTTTCTTTCCCTAATTCACTGCGATAATCTGAAACTCAGTTTACACATTGCAAATAACGTAACAATAGGAAGGTGCAGAAGGGCCTACTGACCTATACGAAGCGGCTCCTATTTATACCCCACAGAAATCCATTCATATACATGTCTAACCTACGCTTGAAACAACCTTGTGAACCCATGGCGATTATGTTACTTTATACAATACTTCAATAACTGTTTCTCCTTCCCATCTCTGTTACCTCTCCCGGCAATTTAATTCCCATCTTGATCTTCTCCATCCATCCCTACGTCTCTGGGAGTCACGCTCTCTTCCTTTAATACACTCTGACCTCACTTGATGACCTTCTACACACCTTCCCACACTCGAGACTTGTCAGGACGACCCCAGACACTTTGCTGGGAGACCTTAGACCACCAGCGGGTCGTACGTGCAGCTGGGGCAAGTGTTATGAGCAGACATTCTGGGATCCGAAAGTTGGCGAACTTTCAGATCTCAAAATGGCATCATTCTGGCCAGGATGATGCCAGAGGAAACTCTGATAGAGGTCCGTAGCGAGTCTGACGGGTGTCAGAATCTTCTAAAAACCGTCACTTCTACCTCACCCGTCCCTTCTACTACACCCGTCCCTTTCACCACACCCGTCGCTTTCTTCCACACTGCCACCCTTCCAGATAACCTCATCTTTACACAGATGAGGATTCCACAGAGGATTACACAGATTCCACCAACCCCTCCCAACCACCAACATTGCTGTCTCCTGTATGTCACTTCCACTTCCCTTATAAACAGAACAAACTCTCGACATTATATACATAACTCCAAGAATATGATGTGATATCATTTAGCTCGTAACAATGTATTTACAAGGTTTTAAAAAGCGGTAAATAATCGTACAATATATGCAAAGTGAGTAAATAATTGAAGAAGAATTACTTTTGGAAAAATATATATACACATATCAACATATTTACATATATATAAACATATAATATATATGATATAATATATATTATATATATTTCATTCACTTGGGTACTAGGAGCGTCGATTCTCTGACTCCCAAAGCGAGAGACACACTACAAAGCCATCTTCCACACCTACTAAGTTGCATAAATGGGTTACAGGTGTTGTTATAAAGTAGAAAGTGCTCCTCTTTACACTGGGCAGTTTGAAGAGGGAATAATACATCTAGTTCGTGCATTCAGAGACTCGTCGTGTGGACGCAGGTGGATATAAATGGTTACGTGTGGATACAGGTGGATACGGGTGGGTATTTACATGATAAAATGAACTATTAGGTGGGTAGTGGAGCACTTTAGCAAAGTGAAAACTGGAAGTGTTAAGTGAATGCATTTCAGGCGAAGTTTGGTGAAGAGAAATATATAATGGTGACATGGTGGAGGTTATGGTGATTGGGACTGGTGACACGGTTATGGTGACTGGTGGTGAATATAGTGACTAAGGACGGTGAACCTCGGGAAGTCAGAGTGAAACAGAGGCTAAGACAACCATTCTGGACGAACATGTAGACTGAGGATAATGATAATGAAGGTGATGAAATGATGAAAATGCTACTATCATGGACGATGAGTGACAATAACGTGGCTGAAGATATGATGACCAATCCACCCATCAGAAAATAGAGAAACAACAATGTTTCGGTTCGTTCCGGACCATTAATAAATCAAGTGACATCGCACACGACATAATAATAGACATAAACGAAGCAAAAAGGCCTCGTTTCTCCATTTCCTGATGTATGGTTTGGTCATTTCACAATCGTGCCTCGTGAAACAGTGAAGAGGCAAGCTGCTACACTTCATCTACTTGGCGACGTTAAGTCAAGGAGCTGTTCGAGACCTGCCCAGGCTAGAGAAACCTCCTTAGAGTTAGAGGAAGGACGAGGAAGAACGACCTAAATCCCAACTAGAGAACATTGTATAAATATCAAGAGACCCACGACCTCGAAACCTTCATTAAACATAAATAACATAGTCAAAACACAAGACCTTCATGAAGAAACGTGAGGATTCATTGCATAAGTTGCAGACTTGAGCCGGGTTTTAATGGCAATGCTGACCAGACCACACACTAGAAGGTGATGGGACGACGACGTTTCGGTCCGTCCTGGACCATTCTCAAGTCGATGAAGCTCGGACGTAGGTTCGAATCCTCGTCACGGCCCTTGTGGATTTGTTCATGGAAGCCTGGTCTCAGGTCAGGATGCAAGTGTTGGTAAACTCTCTAAACCGACCACAGGTACACAAAAGGTAAACCACAATTAAACCTGCCTATAAAGGCACACGGGTAAGTGAAACGTGTATGTTTGTACACAATGATGGATTGAAGACGGAAATTCTTACATAAATCACAAAGCGTGTTTAGATAACGCCTCGTGATTGGAAAATTATACTAATATTTTATTGGAAAAAGGTATGAGGAATATAGTTATAGGAAATCGACAATTTCTCAAATTCCTTGGATCTATTTTCCTACAGCAAAAACCTTTGTGCAATCACTAGGAATTGAAAAATATCCCCTCATGATTCAAAGAAGAAATAACGAGTGACATTAGTTTTAAACAATCAATATTCGTCTTGTAGAAGAACACAAATGATCTTGAGAAAGCCGGCAGGACTATGTAGCACTTGGAAGATACGAGGACAAGGAGCTGGGATATGAGAGTCGGTGACCGACCTCTCGGAGCATCGGGGAATCGAACAAGGACCAGAAAGAAACGAGGTCTTCGCTCTACCAAAGTTACAGTCGAAGTGGACGGCTGGAACTGGTGAAGTAACCACATATCAAGATAAAGCTCGATCATAATCAAGTTGCTCTTCAATAGCCAGCTAAATTAAAAGTAATTGAATGATTTTTAAGATGCCAAATCGAAAGCAGAAAGTTCTAAGGTTATCCACAAAATAAATTCTGGTTCACCGAACATGAAAACATCTTAAGATCATCAAAGTCGTTCGTACAGACCAGGACCTGGATTCATCAAATATTTACGCACCCACTTACGAAACCAGTATATCTTTCCTCAATCATGGCGGCTTTGTAAATATTTATTAACCAGCTTAAAGTTCCGAAGCGCTACGAAGTTGTCTATAACACTAATAACCATAGACTGTAAAGTTTTCAAGCTGGTAAACTGGTCAAATAAACGTAAACAAACCCGCAATGATTGCAGAAAGATGTAGAGGTTTCGTGAGTGGATGAGTAAATGCTTGACAAGTCCTGGTCCAGAGAGTGCACCAGCATTACCCACCGACTCGGATCCAAGACAATCTTCAGAGTGACAGTACCATCAAATAAATAGAGAGAGTTTCCCTGTCCTAGTCAGCCTCTGACAGCTCATCACCTCAACACCATAGAAGGCCCAGACACACACACCATCGTCACCATCAACTATGAAGAAGGAGCACCGGACACTGCCTTTTGTTATCATTATCATACTTTTATTTAGTTTAACAACAGTAGATAAAATCCTGAAGTACACTGGAGTCAAGCGAGAGTTATTCACCCATGCTACCCTGACATTTTCCAGCAGAAACCTGGATAGAGTTAATCAAACTAAAATAGAGCATTGCATTACATATGTTGCAATGATTAATCTACTCATATACTACACGTAACAGTTGCCTTGTAATTCATTATGTTTACTACTCAATCCCCAGGACGCTAGTTATGAAAGTGGAATCTGAGCTTTGAACTATGCAACATAACATTTATATAACAAATTAGATGATTAGATTAGAATTAGATAACAAATTCCTGGATAAACACTAAATGTCCTATAATAGGAAGTACTATATTCAAATATGGGTTCGTGATCCGTAGACTTTAATATCACTACTTGATGTTTTAAATGTTATAATTTTTAATTTGATATTAATTTTATTGATAAAGTTTTTTACATATGCGTTTTATGCCCATGTTATTTTTGTTTTTATTAATTTTGTTGTTATTTTGCATGTAATATATTGTTTCTCATTTTCTATTGCTTTGACATGTTGTGTCAAACCAATTTGACATTTAGATATTTCTTTCTAATAACAATTTCATGTACTTTTACACTAACAATTTAACAATTTTCTAATAACAATTTCATGTACTAATACACTAATGGCTTGCTATACATAATTCAGTGTTTATACATGACACTCACTGCCTAGTACTGAACTGATAGGCCTATATGAGACTGCAGATGGCCTACAATTAGGTTTATATAAGCCTACACCTTGAACCGATAACTCAGCATCTACGGTACCGTCTGCTCCTTCCTCAGACAAGGTCTCCAGTGACGGTGAGCAGGTCCAGGAACCATGTGGCATTTACACTTGCGAAACCTGTATATCTTTCCTCAGACATGGCCGCCATGATCGACGTAAGGTGTACAAATTTCGCAATTGGGTGTTTAAATACTGAATGAATCCTGATTCCGCATAGTAAGTTACGACTTATTTACAGTGACGTAAAAACTAAACAAAATATATATAATTATCGTCTATTATATGTTATCCCGCTTTTGATCTTTGTGGCAACATTAACAACAAAAATAAAAACACATTTGTACATAAAAACCCATATTAACTTTGAAACAAATGTCCCTATACAAGTGAATAAATCCACAAGGGCCGTGACGACGATTCGAACCTGCGTCCGAGAGCATCCCAGACGCTGCCTTAATCGACTGAGCTACGACCGTCGTTTATAAGGCAGCGTCTGAGATGCTCTCGGACGTAGGTTCGAATCCTCGTCACGACCCTTGTGGATTTATTCATTTGATGCATCACGCAATTGTGATTTCTCTCCCTATACAAGTTTCTATAAAAGAATTAGCCTCCCCAAAAAACAGAATCCCGTATCAGCAATAAAACGGCATAATAGATGAATCCAATTACTTCATAACCACAGCTCTGCGCAATGTCTAGATGTTAAGGCCGATTAAATGCCAGTTTGGGTGAGGAACAAGCATGAGGACATGACCAAGAGAGAACGGACGAGGTACAAAGGCACATTTGACAACAGAGATGACATTGTAGTAGCAACAACAGTGACGTCATGACACGTAATTGACACGTAGGAGTGACGTCACTTACCCAGACTTCTCCTCCACGAACGACAATAAATTTCTGTATTGTGGGAAGAGAGAGATTGTGATGGAGATTAGTGCTATTGGGAAATTTGTGACAAAATACACTATATATACATTATCATACACAACAAATTCAATCAAACTAAACGAATATTATCTTTCTAGATTTTGGAATGCATGTATAATTTGCCGTGCATAACACCTAGCATACTTATACACTATGGTAAACTACAGCGGTAAACTATGGTAATATACACTATGGTAAACTAAAGTCTATGCAAGTATTCGAGAAAGTAATTATCAACAATCCTGACTGCTAGTTATCAATTCTGTATTTGTTTTAATTAAACCTCCTAATTAAACATTTTAATTACATTTTTGCATTAAACCTCTGTATATTATACTTTTATATTAAACAGATATATTAAATCTTTGTATTAAATTTCTATATTAAATTTCACTCTAAACATCTGAATTAAACTTCTGAGTTAAAAGTTTGTATGAATTTTCTTTAGTAAACTCTATTGTCAAACCATAAAGGTTATGTAATAAAATGTTTGAATACATTTATGATAGTCAAATCAACATCAGTATACATCAACCTTCAAGAGAGATATATACCCGAGAGGTATACCATGCTTATATATTCTGAAGGGTATACCTCGCTTCTCTGAGTATATAAACTGAGTTTACCTGTTGGTTGGTGAGTAAGCTATTGTGTTGCCTTAATAATAGATTGATAGGTTTTAAGCCCAACACCAGACCAAAATTAACCTTGTGTTAATTTTGAGCCATTGTAACTTATGCAAAATAGGGATAGTTGGACAGAAAGATAGTTTTTTTGAGCGGGGCAGGGGATTAAAGCTCAAAATTTAGTAGATCGGGGTGGAAATGGGATATAATCTTGAATATTTCGGAAAAAACTGCTATATTCAAGGAAATGTAAATAGAGGCATCTGTCAGGGAGATTCCAAACTGAGAGGGAATGGAATGCAAAATGGAAAATTGAATTTGGGCTTGGAATTGAAATTATTAAAAATGGCACCCCGTTTAAAAAATATACCAGAGGTGTGAAAAATATAATCATAGCCAACTTTATACAAAAATAAAAATGAATGTCAGCACCAAAAACTCGTTTAAAAGTCAAGACTGCAAATTAAAGTTTGTTAGGAGCCGACACAAAAGCATGGAATCACAATATGCCACTTTAGCTGAAGCATAGTTGTAAAAAAAGATGTCACTATACTAAAAAAAATGCAATATTTTGTATGACAATAGAGGGAAGTTTTTAAAACGTTTTCAATATAGTGAAATTTGTCTATGCTAGGTGCAAAGGGTTGCAAATATCCTATTTAGTTACATGCAAATTCTTTCAACTTTGTATGCCTTCAGGACACAAAACTGCAACTGTAATATATAATGATTCACAAATAAAAAAGAAAAATAATAAAAAATTTTTTTGCACATAAAATCCCAAGACTAATCTTGATCACAACCAAAATTTTAACACAGTTAATATCCACACAAAATCCACACAAAATATGATAAATAACAATAAAGAAACAGAAAAGAAAATCCACGCCAATCACACAGTAAATAAAAATAACTAATAAACATTCAAAACTCTAAAAACCTAGTTTATTCTAAGCTGTAACAGTTCTAAGAGACGAGATGAACAGAAACCAATTCCCTCGTACGTATAACTACCTTACCAGGGGGGTGAGGTGAGGCAACTTATAACTACCTAAGAGGTAATTTATACGAACGACAACACTAACACAATATACAAATCTTAACACCCCCAACACAACACCTAAGGCCACCAACACAACCTTTAACATCAATACATAGTTTAACATTACTAACACAAAGCTAGACGTTGCTAATACACAAATTAACATCACTAGCACAAAGCTTACGATCACTAACATAAAGCTTAACATAGTAGCACAAAGTTTAACATCACTAACAAAGCTTAACACCAACAAGATTAACATCAACAAGATTAACAACATAAAGACCAACATTACCAACATGAAACTCAACATCACCAACGTGTAGCATCACACCATCAACATAAAATCTAAACATTGACAACAACACACCTTCACAAACACAGAGATGCTAACGTTACTGCCTCCTTGGTAGCTACTCTTTACCTTATAAATAGGGATGCCTTGGTAACAGATGTCATGTGCCTTGGTAACGCAGGTCACATGCCTTGGTAACGCAAGTTAACTCGAACTGAATTTTGTGACTTCTTTAAGATTCCATTTTGACTGTCCTTAAACTCAGATTTAATCGTATTCTATAAATTATATTTATTGAGTTTCGTATACGCAACTGATCCAATAGTTTGATTAAGTTATTAGTGAGAATCGAAGTTTAGATACGAAGCCATGAACATAAAAGCGAACACAGCCAAAGAACTGTGGCTTCACCTTCCTAATTCCTAAGACCATTAAACTTGGACTATTATTCACGTTCCAGCAAATTACGACCATTAAGCAAGATTTACGAATCAAGAAGAATTAATAAAGAACCAGTAACATTAATCTGAACTAGGTTAATTTACTTCCCACTAAACACTCCACTTTATTCAACATTTCACTCCTTCATACCCACCAGTTACAATATTATTCGACGTTGAAACAATGGCAACTGTCTGGCGACATTCATTTGCTGCAACGTTGAGCCAATACTTAAAAAAAAATCGATTCTACAACAGCTTTAAATTTATATCGGGCAATAATAGAGTCCTTAAAATCCTCTCTTTTAAATCAAACACTAAAAAAAGAAATAAAAACTTCAAATAAATGTAATTGACGGGTCAAAAAGACACTCAAATAAAAAGCAGTCACACCAGAGCAAGATCCACGTTGGACCTCGTCCAGCCCCCGCTAGACACATACCTTGATGGGTTTCTTGATGTTCATGATCTCTGCGTAGCGTACCAGAAGGTCCCATGGAGCGTGGACCTTCACGAAGTACGTCAACCCATCCTGGGATTGCTGTAGCAGAAAGAGACAAATTCAGGTGACGTTGAACGCTTGCGGAATACTTTGAACTAAGCTCTACCGCCCAAACCATCCCCTTCTCTTACCCCCAGGTCGACTTCCCAACTCTCTCGTATCAACTCTACCTATCAACTCCTCCCCTTTCCCCCCCTTTTAACCCCTTTTCCATCCACTTACATTCTTGTCCTCCGTCTCCAGATCGAGTCCCTCCTCCTTGAGGTTCTGCTCGAAGACCCTACGTTGCTCGATGTGGACAGGATCCTCTTCCTCCCTGTAGACCAACACGAAGTCGATTTGCTTCTTGTTGTCCCTGAAGAATAGAGTCTCCACCGTCTTGCGCACCTACAGGAGACGTTGGATAAATTGGTACACGGATTGGTGGACAGATTGGGATTACTAGATAGATAGTGGGAGAAGGCGTCAAGAATGGGAGGGTGACGAACGGATTGGATTGGGTGATGTGTAGATTGAGTGAGAAAATCTATTGCTTTAATGATAAAGATTAGTTAATTGACAGGTTTTGTGGGTTAATGTATTCATGAATGATAGATTGGAAAGACTAATAAGCGAGAGAGTTGCAGGGTTGAATAGATGATTGATGAACCCTCCAATGATAAAATGGTATTTCCATCAATGGGAGAGTTGTAAGTATGATTGATGAGTTGATAGCAAAGGTCGAGCACTGATAAAATTGAATTGATAGATGAACTGATGTGTGATACGAGATATTTATTGACGGTGCCTAATAAAGCGATGGATAGAGTCAGTGCCAGAGTCATATATTCATTGATGGTTGGATTGATTTAATTTGGGGAGATTCATCGATAAAATAATTAGTTGAATAATTGATAAGTGGGTAAATTGAGCAATACATTGCTTAATAGAGAAGTTGTGTCATCCAGTCCAGAGAAAATGGATTGAAAGATTGACTTGATCAGTAGAGTAATTAGATATAAATTGACTATTTAGGGCTTTCACAATGCATAATGAAACCTCAACAATCTGGTATATCTATGAGAAAATCACTGGAGCAGGACAGAGAGATCGAACCAGCTTCTTTGGTAACTTTTAAGCATATCGTGGTCCATGGGTTAAGGCGCGCGTCTGATATAATCCAAGGCGTTAATTCGATCCCAAAGTCCTACCCCAAAGATTCTCTAACTTTCACAACCATTTTTCTTCTACCACAGACGTGGCCACACATTTACAATGCTAACCCATGATATAAATATTTTTTCTTGTCCTCCATGGACAGCGTTAGAGATCTGTTAAACACATAGTTCAGTCATTAATTGAACAATCAACCACACTCGATGATTGTAGTGCTTTTAAAATGCATATCTAACCTACATACATAAATACACAATTATTCTCAGTGCTGTTATGCTCCATAGTGTCATCATTTTCACTATCATTCACTCTCGCCACAATCATCATTATCGTCGTTCAAGTCATCACAATTCCGTAACCCGCAGAGCAAATTGTATTTTGTTAAATTTATATGTACACAAATTTCAAGAGTCAAGAGAGCTAGAGTGGCACAAGTGTCGTAAGGAGACCCTGAGTTACCTAGTTTTATTTACATTAAGCTGTTGTGCAGAGGGGGAGGAGAAAGGCTAATTGATGATTATTGGTTTTGAGTATATTATTACGTCATTAACACCACGAAACACGACGCACCATTGGTTATAGAAAGTCAGTGACGTCACTAGCATGAGAAAATGCGACGTACGATTGGTTATATAAAGTCAGTGACGTCATTAGCTCGAGAAAATACGACGCACCATTGGTTATAGAAAGTGACGTCATTAGCTCGAGAAAATACGACGCGCCATTGGCTGAAGAAAGTACGTGATGAAAAAATACGTACACTATTGGTTATATAAAGTCAATGACGTCATTAGCATGAGAAAACAACTTATACAATGGTCAATAGGACGTCTTTGACGTCATTATCACTCGAGTGACATCATCGATATAATACGCGGTGACGCCATCAGAGTTCCCAATACCATTAGCTACGAAAATACATTAACATTATTACCTGGATAAACTGTGACGTCAATCACGTAAAGAATGTTATGTTATTGCACTGGAAAGAAACTGTGACGTGAACTGAATGCAAAATTGAAGGAGGATATTGATTTAAGGAAGTCCATGACGTCACAGATGTTATGACCACTCCCAGTTTAGCTGTTCGTCACTCGTCTAGTCGTTCTCGTACTAAATAAATCCCGTGACCTGAAAAAAACATCTTCCTCAACTTCGTGGAGAAATTGGATTTTGTTTTAATGTTAATCAGAAGTGATGTATGTAATCGTTGCATACAATAAGTGGCATGCAGTAGGTCGAATGCAATGGGTAGCATACAATAGGTCGTATACAATGGGACCCCATACGGTAGGCTGCATATGGTATGTCAAATCCCAAGGCCAATTTACCCACCACCCCTATAAAAGTCCCTCCTTGCACCGCTCCCCATCCCAAAATTATATTATTTTCTATAATTATTATATTATTTCCTGTTTCTTTTTAAGTTTATATTCCTCCTATTTCCGAATGACACCACAAATAGCTTGCAATAAAGGAGGCACCAAATAGTGCAAATTTACGAGTCATAACAAGGAAGAATAATTACAAATGTGAAATGCTATGCTAGCTAGAAGATGGACCTACTAGGTCCACTACCCACACAACCATTTAGGCCTCCCTTCTCCTTCCCACATAACTTTAAGTGATTGCAGCTCGTGTTTTGAAATAAGATTAGAACTTTTATTAGAACTTTGTATGTAGGAACCAGTCACACAGTCTTTTTTGGTGATAGTGAGCAATTCCATATAAAAAAGGGTTCGGTAACGCCTCACTCGGGCGACAGATGTCGGAGAAAACAATGGTGCTATGTGGTTAACCTCTGGAAACGAGCTCTGGCAAGTGTCTTCGATTGTGAATCATAACCTCTGAGCTTCAGGTGAGGTTCAAACAGTGTCTGAGAGCTTTTATAAGCTTCATGAGTGCCCTACCTTGCTTCAGTCGAGAGGACACCTCAAGAGAGCAAGAGTGTTGGCCATGAGGACCAAGTCCCACGAGAGATGATGGTCTACAGTTTGATGACAGTGTCTTTAAAGTATAGGTTCTCGTCGCATGAGCCGTGGTGCTGTGCTTCCTAGAATGATGTTAGCTGCTCAGCAGCACGTCACCGATAGCTCAGCTGGGACCGGAAGCTGGATCTCGACCACAGTGTGCCAGTTAGGGAGGATTTCATATAAATACATCTTGACAGTGATGTTACAGTTCGCGGATTTTCAAATTAAAGTTATTTTAGGCCGTGAAAAAACGGATAAACTCTGTGAACTTTATCCTCAACATTTCAGTGTATATTGTGATCACTGTTAATGATCCTAAGTCTGAGGAAATCTCCTGGTCTGACGTGTTGAACTATCACAACGAAATAGACAAGGCAAACTTCCCAGGTGCTTGAATATATACTCTTAAGAACCAGTGAATCATCTAGCTAATTCATCACTCATCTGACGAAGTGAATCACAGTGATGTTAGTGATGAGTTCAAGAAGTTCTAAAGTGGTGTGAAATTGAGACACTGAAAATTTATAGTTGATGAGAAGACTATAATTATAGTAAAACAGTAAAGGTATAGTAAAGGAATATAATTATAGCAGCAGGATGCTGCTTTTATAGACATTCCTTATTAACACTACTCAATAGCTCCGTCGTTAGAGCTTCAGCCTGACACGTGTGGGGTCTGCGGTTCGAGTCTCCTAGAACCCAGTTGAATGGAATATAATTATAGTATTTAAAGAAAACACGATATTAGTAGTAAAGATGAACACCCAATGTAAATAGTGTTATCTAAATGACAAAACGATGCTATAATAGCCGGCTATGTAAAATATGCAAATACTCTGTCCTAGTCAGTAATCACTAACACGATTCCTCGTATATCTTATAAATAAAATATAATGATAATTATAAGTGACAGCACTACTTAGGTAAAAGTAGTTTTACACTTTTACTTTTTTACTTACGTAAAAACTGATATTCATTAGGACAAATATATATTCCCGTAGCCAGTTCTTGTGCTAAGGCCCCCCATATACTCTTATATACATATATATGTATGTTGGTATACATAGGCTTGTACCAGCGGCACCTCGTTGTTGTTAATTGCTTAATTGTTGTAGAAGGAAAACGGAACGTAGTACTGGATTGGTTTTGTACTCTGTTGTTCACAGTCAAAAGTGACGAGGTGAGATTACTACAGTGTTGTTAACATGCATGTCTCATTATACAGTAAGCCAGTTAATGTGAACTACTATGTTATTATAATGATGAATTCAGCTGATGTTTACTCTTGATAAAGTGAATCAAGAAAATTCTTACCGGTAATACAAAGTACATTGAACGGAACTTCTATGAGAACAGTGTTGAGAGTAAATGGTTGATTAAAGTATTGTCCTGCGTGCTCATAATGGGAGTATCTGTGAGTCCATGAGGTGGTGTCAGGTCTGTCACCTGTACATGGACCTTTTGGTGTAATACGTGACAGGCAGATTATCCATGGTCGTCTTTAGAGAGGCAGCCAATCGTCAACTGACGATTGGCTGCCCGACCAAGGTGCCGCATCCCCACAATTACTCATCATCCATCATCGCGAGAACTTAAGTTTCTCTGCATCACCAAAGGCTGAAACTCCTACGGGAACTGTAGGTTTGGTCGTATTTGTTACGGAATATACCAATCCGTTAAAAATGCAACGTATTAGTAAAAACTAAAGCATGGTAATAGTTACGTTTCTATCTCAGTATGTTAAGTGGGTTGCTTAGGTTTGCCTGAATCTTGTTTGGGAAAACTTGCACTCTTTTCAGAGGGACAGACTGAGAGAACGGTCCGTTACTGCTATATAAACCCCCTATACTGTGGTGACTGGCGTATAGTGTACCTATATGGAAAGTAATAGGCTACTTCACACGCACGCCCACGCACACGCACACACAGTTGGTCATCTCACCTTATGATGTGTAACGAATGCAATTTTCCTATGATGCTCGGTCGGTCTGGTCGGAGATGGCATTGTCTGGAGAGGCTGATAGGGCATCCTTCCCCTAACTCTGTCACTCTCCATAATGAGCCTCGTTTCTCATTATGCCGCGCCTCCTGTCCAACTGTCTTGGGCCTCGTGACACATTATGCTTCTCCTCTTCTCCCATTAAGACACACACCTCTTTTCACACTTTTCATCATTTCAATCTGCTTTATTTTCTCATTTTTCTTACCGAGAAATATTGTATTTTATCTCTTACAGCACCTCACGTAGTCTCACACTAT